TAATAATAGTTAACATAGATGTTTCTACAGGTACATGTATGAGATTATATGCATGTGAGATATACATACGTGATAACTTATGTAAAATACTTTGAAAACCTTAAAGATATATATATGTATATATACACACATACATACTATATGATTACTTTGAAAACTTTAAATATATAATATATATGTGATGATAGGTGATGATGTCATGATGATGATGATGTGTGTGAGAGATGGGGAGGGGGGAGGTGAGGCAGGCCGTCCTTTTTCATTCTGTCTTTTTATCTCCAGGACCAGCACAGTTCTTTGCACATATTAGCCACTGACTAAATGCTTATTGGATTGGAATGAACTGATTAAATCACTGATCTTTTGAATTCCTGAAGTAAATTTCTGCAGAAGCCATCTGTCAGCCTGTATTGGAGACATTTACCAGGTAATGATTGTAACCTGTGAGTTTCTCTTCTAACTGAGAGGAGCTGTACTGGATTGGGCCAGGGTCAGGAGAACTGTGTTCTAGTTACCATTTTGGCCACAAACTAGCTGCATGACCTTGGACAAGTCCCTCTCTGCTCCCCCCAGACTTTGGTTTTCTCGTTTGCAGATCAAGGATTTAGACTAATTCTCTCTAAATTAGCCCTTCCAGCTTGGACATTCTGCACTGCTCTGACCATCTGGGCAGGTTAGAACTGGAATTTTATTTCTTGGCTGGGGGAGCCAGGTTGTAATATTATTTCCCTCCAGTGGTTTTGCCTTTTCCCTACTCAGCTAAGTTGCACAGTTGGCACGAGGCAAAGTTAAGATGCATTTTAGCTTTGCACATTTAATACTGGGAGGATTGGCTGGGTTTCTTCTCACCACTGAGAGACGGTGCTCACTGCTGAAGCTCCTGAAGACACGGAGTTAGCCCAAGCTCATTCCCATTAGGAAAAGATTCCATTCATTGGGTGTTTATTTATTAAATGCCTATTTAAAACATCGTAGCGGGGTCCTTTGAGATATGCATCTTCCCCTTAAGTGAGGTAAGTGATGCTATGAATCTCCCCTAACATACTTCCAAGTTGTGGGTTATTGGAGTTAGCCAGCAAATGTCTGACCTTAGTCTGAGGAGCTGGCTAATGTATCACAGGAAGACAGGAGGGTGGGGGGAGTGAATGCACCACCTTCAATATCACAATTATATTTTTGAGAGTGCTTCAGTTTATTAAATTAAACTACATACCTGAAGGGGATATTTTCTTTTTAAAAATTTCCTTTTAATTTAATTTTCTTACGTTCATTTTTAAAATTTTGAGTTCCAAATTCTCTCCCTATTGAGAAGGCAAGCAGTAAAATGCTAAAGGGGATATTTTCTTGTACTTTCATTTTCCCTGAAAAAGGAACAGTATACTAACACACCATAAAGGAGGCACTATCTCTGAAATCTTCAGGCCTCTGGTGGATTTTGCTTTTCTGAACTTTTTAGGAATAGGCTCATAGAATCATAGATGTAGATCTTGGAAGGCTTGTTGGGGGTCTTTGAGTTCAATCCTCATAGTTTATAGATGATGATGCAGAGACTCAGAGAGGTTGTGACTTGCTCAGGGCTCCACAGCCAATAAGTGTCTGAGGCAGGATTTGATCTCATCGCTCTATCTACTCTACCACCTGACATAGATACCCATTAGTCCCCGACAGTTAGGTCCCATACTCAGGTTTGCAAATGATCTATGTGGCCTCTTGACCACTTTTACCACTACAACTGGCATTAATTTAAATATGCTCTGTTCAGGTCAATAGTGTTTCCATAATGATGGGGAAGGGCATTTGCTTTCATTGATTTGCTCTTTAAGAGAATGTACACTGTTATTTACGGGTTTGAATGGATTTATAGGCTTGATGGGTCTGAAACAAAGGCCTCTTCTAACAACAGTTTTCCAAGGATGCCATGTGGCCATGAGTCATGGAACACCAAGTCTCTGTAGAGTGAAAGTTGTGGGTCATGCAAAGGGCAATGGAGAAGTGATGGTGGGCGACTTGAGTTGGCTGCAACGTGTCACCAGACATGAGTTGTGCATAGAGAAGTGGCATAAAGAATGTTGTCGGGAAGATGTCTAACCAGGGAAAGTGGGCCAATCATGTGGAGAGTGAGAGAGAACCAGTGTGCAGTCTGCTGGCTCTGTTGGTATCCATCTGAAGGTAAGCAATCCCTGTGAAAGATTTCTGGTCCAAACCAATAAGCATTTGTTAGGCACCTGCTGTGTGCATGGACACTGACTGGTGCTGAGGATGCAAAGCCAAAATGGAAAATGGTCCCCATCCTCAAGAAACATAACTTTCTACTGAGGTGGGGGTAGGATACAACATGTAAAGATAAATATATAGATGATCATTTGGGATGAAGGGAGAAGAGAAAATCAACAGTTAAAGAGATCAAGAAAAGTTTCTTATAGAAAAGGGTCAGTGAGCTGAACCTCAAAGGAAGCTAGAGATTCTAACAAGTGGCGGTAAAGAGGGGGAAGTCACAAAGACATGGAGGTGAGAGATGGAAGGGCCCACTTCAGGGAACAGTAGTTAGGCCAGTTTGGCCGGAACCAAGAGGGTGTGAAGGAGAGTAAAGTACACCCATCCTGAAAAGGTAGATGGGAGCCGTATTGGAGAGGACGTTAAATACCTAGGGGAAGAATTTGTGTTTCATCCTAGGGATAATAAGGAGTCCCTGACAGTTTTTGCGCAAGGGAGTCACATGATCAGTCTTAGGGTTTGAAGAATTTATTTTGGCAACTATGTAGAGAATGGATTAGAGAGGAGAGAGATTGGAAACTGCAAGTTCCATTAGGAGACTGTTGCAATAGTCTAGGCTGAAAATGATGACTGCCTGAACTAGGGTGGTGATCTAATCTTGGAGAGTAAGAAACAGATGCAAGAAATGTAAAAGAAGTAGAATCAAGAGACTTTGCAACTGATTTGAGTGTAGGGAGTGAAGGAAGAGGAGGAGTCATGGGTGACTCCAAAGTTGTGAAGAGATAGAGAGGATGGCTAGGTGTGAGGGTTAATGAGTTCTGTTTGGGGCATGTTGAGTTTGAGAGGCCTATGAAACATCCACTTGGAGGTGTCCAACAAGCAGTTAGTAGAACAAGCTTGGAGCTCAGAAGAGAGGTTAGGGCTGGATATACAGATCTGAGAGGCTTCTGCAGAGGAATGATATTGGATTCCAGGGGAGCTGATAAGCTCACCAATATAGTACATAAAGAGAGAAAAGAAGAGGGCATGCAATAGAGCCTTAAGATATACTAGGCAAAGTTGGTGGAGCAAAGTGATTTAAAAGGAGTGGTTTGACAGGTAGGAGAACAAGGAGAGAACATTATCATCAAAACCCATGGAGAGGAAATGATTTCCAAGAAGAGGAGAATGGACCAAGTTTTGAAACATAGAATAGGGGGGAAAGGGAGCTCATGAGGAATGGGCTCTTTTTTTCTTGGCAAGTAATAATCAAGATCTTCTTTGGGAAGGTAAGGGTGAGGGAGATTTATGGGGATGACATGGGTTACGAGAAAGAGATGGCATGCGTAGTTGTGGGAAGTAACCACATTGATGAGGTCACAGGTCCATTAAAGATTATCTAAAGGTTATTTCCAGTTCATTGGCTGGATCTTCCTTGAATGACTTGGAAAGACAATGAGAATGAATGACACAGGAGGAAGAGGCATGGAGGGTTCATCAGTCTGCCCTGATGAGAGAGTTATACTGTCGAGCTCAGAGATCCATCCAAGTCTCAAAATGTTATATTTAATTGGGCCCTGTGAAGGCCTGTATGGCTGTCTTCCAAAGATCAGCTTGGAGAAGTGCTGAGAGGCTCATCAACCAGAAGGCTGGTCACTAGGTGATGAATTCTTTTGGCTACAGAAGCAAATAGACTATGTCTGCTAAGGTGTGGAGAGGCTGCCATCTGCTTCCTTGGAGGGTGCAACCACGCCAATTAAATCATAGATCCCTGAAGCACTGGAAGAATTATTATTTAACAATTCTGGTTTGGGGCTCATTTAAAGATGGATTTTGAGTGACGGAATCCCTGCTTTTTGGGCCTGGGCTTGGTGGGGGGAGGAGAGAGAGAGACAGAGAGAGATAGAGAGAAAGAGTTTATAAAGTCCTACTTCTTGTCAACTCGCATTCCTTGACCAGTAGGCTTTGGGTGGTAGAAGAACTCTGAGCTGGTGGGATGCTCATGGGGATGGAGTGAAAGAAAGAACTGCTGTGGAAGGAGTATTGCTTTGCTGAATCTTTGGGATGACCCAGACTGAAGAGTTGTATTTGGTTCCTATTGTCTGAGGTCCCTGGTGAGGTTTTGTTTTCAAATGTGCGGAAAGAAGTTGGGCTAAAGCAAGTCCACTTTCAGTGGTGGTGCTCAGTGACTCTGTGAGGCTGGGGAGAGTGAGAGGGGAGAGGTGGGGCTTCGAAGTGACCTCTTTGGGAATCTCTTGAAATATTGTTCTTATCTGCTGAGCAGCAACCTCCAGTCTCTGAGGGGATGCTCCATGAGGGACAAGGAACAGCTCATGGAGCTGGATAGGCAGAAGGCTGCACTGTAGTGGATTTCGGTTAGACATTGGGCAGAACTTCCTGATCAGATCAGGAGAAACTAGATCAGTAGACAGTAGCTTGGGTTTTCTAGAAGAAGGGGCTGATTTATCAGAGTTGACTTCAGGATAGGGATTTGTGGAAGTGGAGTGCTAGGTGTAAGCGGCCTTTCAAGAACCTTTTTTGGCCCTGGCGTGGTTATATGACTGCCATATTTTCAGATAGCTCTAAGACTATAGGGGTACCGTGGCACTCACCCCCTTTCTGGTTCTGGGCTTCTCTGTAGCTGCTAAGCCAAGAGGCTTGAGCTGTGTTGTACTAAAGTAAATAGCTTTGTCCTGGCAACCCACCCCCTAACCTGACTGTGTGGGCTCCTGGAACTTGCCCCAGAAATAGCATTTTTTATGAGGGCAAAAAAAAAAAAAAAGAAAGAAAAGAAAAAGGCCCAAGAGGGCATGTTCCCACCAATCCCTCCCAGGGAGGAGCCTCAGGCTGGGTGGGAACCTGTAGCCACAGGCCTGGGCACTGCCCACCTGCCCCACAGCCAGGGATTCTGAAAATGTGTGGGAGGGAGCTCTGTGGTCTGACACGGTGGAAGGTGTGAGCCTGGCACCATTGAAAGGGGAAGGGACAGAGGTAGAATCGTTTGCGTCCCCCGCCTGCCTTGTAGCCCTACCTGCGGATAAGGTAGAGATCTACAGGAAAATGACAGTCTCTCTGGCTGAAATGGCTTGGGTAGTGGTAGATGAGTATTAGCGTTTGAAGGTGAGGCCTCACCTGGGGAACATAAGTGTGTGGGCATGTTTCTTAGATATGACTGGAGGGTCCAGAGACTGAAAAAATAAATAAGGCTACAGGTAAGTATAGATTTTAATAAAAGAGCAAAATCTGCTGTTTGTGTGAACTACTTGAAAGCAGGAACTGTCTTTGCTTTTTTATGTTTACCATAATGCACAACACATTGTAAAGGCCTAATAGATGCTTCTCCATTGCATTCCATCACCCGAGGATCAAGGGGCGGCGCAGTGGCATGAGTCTCTCTCTGTCTTTGGTGTTTCCCTCCTGGGCTCCTGGAAAGTGTAGGAAAGGAGCCAGCAGCGTTTTAGTGGACAGTGATCAGGATAGCTCACGGTTCTGGTATGCTGTAAAGTTTCCAAAAGTGCTTTCCTTCCTAACCATTTTAAAAATGAGAAGATTGAGGCTCAGGGAGGTCATGGCTTGCCCAAGTAGCAGAGCCGGACCTAAAACCCAGCTCTTTGGGCTCAAAATCTAAAGTTCTTCCCATAGTCTGTCTTTCCTGACTCTTTATTTTTCTTCCGCTCCATTCATAGACCACACCCACACCCATATGAACTTCCTCTGACATGTGCATGTAAGTTGATAGAGGTATATGGATAGGGCCAGGCTGTGTGTGGATAGATATGTGGATGAGTTTGGGGGCAGTGATATCATTGTTCTAGAGAACGTTCAGTCTCTAGGTCTTCAGGTGTGGCCTTGAGGCCTCTTCTGTACTGAGGCAGTGAAGGGTTGAGTGACCTGCCAAGCATCACACCAGTATGTGTCAGAGGCAAGAGCTGAATCTAGGTTTTCCTGACTGAGGCCAGTGTTCTGTCCCCCAGCCCTTGCTTCCCCTCATGTTTGTGTGTAGAGAACTGCTCACACGTGCACTTCCCCTAATTCATTCATCATCTATCCAGTATATTGCATTATACTGATTAATGTGCATTAGGGCACATTTTTATGAAAATGTCTTGGGTCACTTAACCTTTAAAAAAAAGTTTTACATATAAGCCAGAGCTCATTTCAGAAGCTAACCATCTGCCCAGACTGAGCTCCAAGGAGCTGCCCATAGGACCCCAGGATGGTCCAGGACCAAGGTGGCAAACCCTTGGGGAGGATGAGCAATCACATCCTAATGATAGGAGGGCCTGGGGCATTTTCACAGGGTTCAGTGATCTTCAGCTGGTCATGGGGAAGTGGGGGAGGGACAAGTCGGTTTCTCCACTCCTATTCTCCTCTTCAGTTGCTTTCATTTTGTCTTGAACCCTGGCTCATTGACTGTTAAAGCTCCAGCCCTTGATCACGCAGCCAGGCACGTCCTTGTCAGACTCAGGGTGCCTCCCCAGGACAGGACGAGAAGGAGGGCGTGAGGGTAGAGGGCAGAGAGAGAGAGAACATGTGTTCCTGGCCACTGGTCCCTTTCCAAGACAGGTGAACTCTGTGTTCAGAAAGGGGCTAATTTAATCTCTTGGCTTCAGTAGACTTTCTCACTCTTCTCCAGCCCCCCCCCCCCAACCTCTAAAGAATTTAATCTGCTCAACAACAAACAATACTGTTATAAAACTTTGAAAACAAGAGGGCGAGGTCTCCCGAAAGAGGCAGAAGTGCATGTTGGGTAACGGCCAGAGGGAGAGTGCCAGGCCTGGGATAGAGCCGGGCGAGAGCCCAGTTGGCTTGGTACCTGGGCTCCCGCCCCCACCAGCAAGCGTCATTCCTGACAGGAGGGGAAGAAATGAAAGGGGAGACATCAGAGTTCATTGAAGAGAAGTGTCTATGTATGTTTCTCTCTTTCTCTCCCCCCCCTCTTCCCTTCTTCCTTCTTTCTCTCTCTCTCTCTCCCTCTCTCTCTCCCCCTCCCTCCCTCTCCCTTTCCCTCTCCCTTTCCCTCTCCCTCCCTCCCCTTCCCTCTTTCTCTCCTTCCTTCCCTTCCTTCCCCCTCCCCCTTCTCTCCCTCCTCTCTTTCCTCTCTCTCTCTCCCCCCCTTCCTCTCTCTCCCGCCCCCCCCATGGGAATGCACCAGACTGTGAAACTTCCTCCTCCACCCCTCCCTCCCCCACTCACTGTTCCTGGTCATAAGACTGGCAGAGACAGGTCCCGATAACAAAGTGGGGCTGGTGGGCAGCCCGGGTCCAGCTTCTATCCATATCATGCTATAGGGGAAGCAGGCAAGAGGGAGTGCTTGAAAGTTGGCGCTGAGCTCAGAACCTACCCCATGACTGGCCCAGCCCTGTCCCTTCTTCCCCCCAAAGAGGAAAGTGGAACAGCGTCACTGGGCGTGCCCAGCTTCGTATGCTGTCTTCCAGGTGTGTGCCCAGGCAGTGGGCAGAACTGCCAGTCTGAGGTTAGTTAACATGCCCAGTACCTCCCAGTACAAGAAAGAAGGTGGGCAGGAGGGGATTGTATTAGAGAGACAGTGGGGAGAACATCTGACCTGTCAGAATGCCCTTTCCTTCAAGACACAGGGTTCTGGAGTTGTCCGGAAGAAGTTGAAGCTGTGCTGGGGACATTGACACCTGGCCGACTCCTGAGAACGTAAGGGTAAAGGGGAGGCAAAGACATGGGCTCCTTCAAGCAGTTCCCCCCAGCTCTTCTGGTGAGCCGGTACCCAGCAGTAGAGGCCCTGGTAGGAGACAGAGCCTGCTGGCCATCTCTCGGCAGTGGATGGGGGCAGGGGGATGGGGGTGGAGGGAAGGAAAGGGTGCTCACCCAGCTCAGGGGCCATTAAGGACCAAGCATAAGCACATGGAGGTGGAGGATGGCTGAGATGAGGGCCTCGTTATTCTCCTCCCTTCGGTGCTTCTCCTGACATCACCCCCAACCCCTCAACTGTTAGATTTCACCCACAGCCAGTTTCACTTTTGAATCTACCTTCCCCAAACTGAAATAGCCTACCCCAGAGAGGATGTTGGTGATTCTTTGGTGTATGTTTGAGAATTTGGACCTGAACTTTGAAGAAAAAACGTGTTTGGGGAGCGTGTGTGTATGTGTGTGTGTGTGTGTGCGCGCACAAGAAATGGCTATGGTGAACTTATGCATGCATGCACACACACATGCCTGTTCTCTTCTGGGAATGGCGCCTCAGGAAGGGGTCACTTAGCTTGGTCTGTTAGAACCAAGCCATCCCCCTAGGAGAGCCTGCCTCACATCATCTTAAGGAGTTGGGGGCACCAACTTAGACAGCTAAGAATTCCAAAATTACTTCCATATCCCCCGTATTTGAGTCTGATGTTAATTAAGGGCCTACCATGGCGCTCTAACAGTTTGTTTACCATCCTGGGGGGAAAAAAAAAACCCAGTGAAAACCTGTTTAGGAACTAGTGTCCTAGAAGTGTAGGCTTTCCCCCTTGCTGCCCTTAGGGAAACCAAAAAAAAAAGCTGGTTTTAGGGATCCTCACTTAGTAATTTCATGAGTGTGGGATCTTCTGCTGATTTAGCCTGCAGCTCCTCCTATATTTTATAATTGGTCTTTGTGAGTTGTTGTGGCCTATGACCAGCCTGCACGAGGGCTCCTTGCGCACCGATGGAGGCCTTGGCAGTCACTGCTTCCTAGAAAAGGCAAGCATGACTTCTCTCTGTATGGTTCCTATGGTAGGTGAAAGCCACATAAAAGCTTTCTTAGGGTAATATGCCAGTGCAAAATGGTTTGTTTCCCATTGAGTCACAGTCCAAAGCAAGCTAGCTGTGAGTGCCAAATGAAATGTCTGGGCCTCCTCTTCTTCAGAAGGAGAACTTGGGGTGAATGGCAGTGTGTATTCTGAATTGGTAGCGGGGGCCCGAAGCCAGGGTGTGCTGCAAAGCAGACCCTGGTCCTCTGGTTTTGGCCCCTTATTTCATCCTTCCTATTCACAACCAGGAATGCCGAAAGCCTCTCTGTCAGTGGCGAGAAGCAGGGTTTCCTGCCTGGCCTCCTGATGGACTGGCCAGAAGCAAGACTTTTTTGTTTTGTTTTGCTTTTTGCATCAATCACGTTAAGTAGCTGTGACTCAGCACTAGAGGCAAGAGCCTGATGGAAAAGCTGCTGCCTGGGTGAGAGCCTCCATAATGAACTAGGTCAAAGTCTCCTGTTTCGGCCCAGGGAGGATGGCCACGGTATGGGCACATGTAGCTTGCTGTAGTGGGTGGCTAGCCAGATGTGCCCAATACACATCTGCACTGTGTATTTGGTTTTGCATTCATGTGTAAGGATTCCTCCACCTCCCTTTCCTCCCTCCCCACATTTCCCACAATGTCTCCATTTTCTTCTTAACCAAGTATTTATCAAGGACTTGCTGTGTGCCTGGCACTGTGCTTGGCACTCTGAGGAGGCACAAGAACTGTGGAAAGCACAGTCCCTACTTGAAGGGCCATATCATGAGCAAAGACACTAGACCGCATTGATTCTACAGCGAGGGGGTCCACCCTTTTAGTCTGGTTGAGATATCCAAACCTACTCTTTGTCCCAACCCTGACTTGGCTTTTCCTCAAAGACAATACAGATAAAACCCCTCTCCTCCCTATTCCTGCCCACTCACTTTTCTTATTATTTTGGTTGACATCACCTAGGAGGATGGTTTGAGAGAGCCCACCACCTCCTTGGTCAGTATGTTGCCAAGTTGGTTGGTTTGGTTAATCCTTGGAATGCCCCCTCCCAGCCCAGGTCATTTCTTCTTGGCCATATTCTAAGGCATTGGGGAAAAAAGCCCAACTATTTGAGTAAGATGTAAAGTTCGTGAGATCAGGGGCTACTGTTTTGGTCCTTGTATCCACAGTGCCTTTAGTGCCTTGCACATAGTAGGCACGTAAATAACTGTTAAATTTAAGGGGGTGAGAGTATAGCTTGGTTGGCTGTGGCTCTAGGAAGGCCGGAGTCAATGACAACTTTGTGATAGGATGGTAATATTGAAGAGGTTAGTGTCAGCTGCACCTCAACCATGGGCAGAGAAGGCTTTATAAAGCAGGGAGCCCAGGCTGTGCAGTCTCCATAATCCCTGTGTGAAGGGAACATGTTTAATCTTGCATGCCACCGGGAAGATTTTTTTTTCTTTCGTTGTTGTTGCCTGCCAATTAGGAGATTAGTAGAGAGATTCAGGCTTGATGGAAGCAATGCCACTGCCTTCTCGAAACAAAAAATTTTTGCAGAGGTGAGATTCTGATCAACAAATTGTTTCCAAAATGTAAGATGGTATTTCCCAGCAGTGACAAGGTCCCTTAGGCCCTTAGCCTAATGAGAATTAGCAAACATATTTTCCCTCCTCTTCTGTTCCCTTTGGATTTGGTGTCACGAAAGTGACTCTGAATAAGCCTGTGTGTGTCTGTTTTCTTAGCCTGGTGATTCGAGAGTGACAGAGAAGTTCATTTGGGTGAAGGGTTCTTAATCCTTTCTGTGTCATGGACTCTTGGTGGTTGGGTGAAGCTTATGAACCCTTTTTCAGAATCGCATTTTTAAATGCTTAACTTGAAATTAAAATAGGATTAAAAAAGAAACAAATTCTATTTAATTATCAAAATAGTTTTGTTTTTTTTTAAAGTTCACAGAGCACAGGTTAAGAACCCCTGATCTAGGTAGAAAGGGGAAGGAAGGGAAAGTATGGGGAGAATTAATACATGGCATATGACCTGATATAGAAAAATCCTTTGGGAGGCCCATTTACAGGCAAACCAGGAAAATCCCCCCATCTATGTTATACATGAGATGGACTCCTCAACTAAAACTGTCAATGGTTTCTGCACAGACTGGAGAAGAAACCACAGGTGGGTGCTAAATCTCCTTCAATGAAAGGAGGCAAAATGGTGGTGTAGGTGGGGAAAATGTCCTTGTCATGTGAGAGCTAATGGTGCATTGCAGTAAGAGCTTTTAACTCCTGTTTATATCTTCAATAACATGATTAATCTGATCTCATTTGGCCTGATAGTATAAAGTTAATACAGACAGGCTTTTGTGTTCCTGCCTCTTAGAAAATAGGAGGGTGGTTTCTGCATTGTTTTAGTCTCCATTATGCTAACTCTTTCTCCTTCTGTGCCATCATCATAACTGCACCTTTTGTCACCAGTGGAAGAGCAAGAAGACCCTCCATCTCAGAACAGACTGAGGCTTCCCCCTCTTCAGGATGTTCCTCTTCTTCTGGAAGCTGGTTTCACATGGTGGCTTAGATTTTTCCATCTCTGTATCTAGCACCATTTGAAATCAGTGTTTTAGGAGTAAGAATTGCGGCAAGGGAAGGACATACGAAGACGTTTCAGTGGCTCACCTGCTTTTTAGATTTGCCATTTGAACTGGGAAAAGACTCCCTCCACAAGAGGATGATTGTCGTAAAAATCAAATTAAGGGGTAGGATCACGTTCAAGGTGTTAGCTCCAATGATAATGCTGTAAGGAACTGAGACCAGTTTTGCATAACTCAATTGAAAAAAACAAAACACTGGATTGAGGATCTCAAGACCTGAGGTTCTAATCTCAACCAGTTACTAGCTGTACGAGCTTGGCCTAGTCAAAGGCTCTGAGGCTTGGTTTTTTCTTCAAAATGGAAATTATACTCACCACCTACCTACCTCACAGGGTTGTTGTGAGAATGTATGACAGTATTTTATAAATATGATAATACTCTTATTGAATGTTAGTTAACAGTCCTGCCCAAGCATGGTAGGGTCCTAATAGTTTCATAAAATAAACACTTCCTGGTTAATGAATGTCATGATTTTAGTCTTCAATTGAGTGGTGATGTGTTTTTCTGGAATAATGAGAAGGGTAGCTATAGCACCCCCCCGGGGAAAAACTGTTCTATTACTTGCTTGAAAATTTGAGGTTATTTGTACATGCAAAGATGTCAGCCATTGTTATAATACAGCAGAATTCCACAAACCCTACTGGACCTCTCTCTTACACAGGCTGACCGATTTCTCTTGGTGTTCAGAGTCTGTTTTTGTCTAGCACCATTTGAAATCGGTTATGATGTAGGGGGAAAAGCAGCAGTCCTGGAACCCTATGCAAGGCTGGTTGATTAGTCGTAGCATGAATCATGGGGGAACAAAAAAGACCACAGTTCTTACTAACCAACTGCAACTGCATTGAAGCTTCTGAAACTCAGAGGTAAGAGACAACATAATGGATAAATGCTCTCTGGACACATGAATGAATCCTGGTGATTTGATTCCAGTCCTCTTTTGCCTTTTCTTTGTAATTTTGAGGTGCTATAAAACGATTAAATCTATATAATAAGGTTAAATACACTAATAAATTTTTTTCCGCATTGCTTGTCATGTCTATTTTTCAACTCCTCCTTCCCATTCAATTCCATGAGGTTGAGAATAAGAAGGCATAAAGGACAGGACGAACAAAACTGGGAAAGTAAACTAGTTTAACCTTGCTATATACATTGTATATATGGCTAAGGGGTGTAGTGGATAAAAGCACTGGACTTGAAATTGGGAAGACCTGGATTCACATTCCACCTTGGACATTATGTGACTCTGGGTAACTCATTGAAACTTCTCTGGCCCTCAGGTTCCTCATCTATAAAATGAGGCTTTAAACTTACGATTTTTCTGTTAGTTTAACATATGAGGCCAATTTCCCAATTAATTTCTTCCTCCCTTTTCCTGGCAGTCTGGGGAGTTGACCATTTAAAGTCACTCACACTGTGATGTCCACATGGTTTGTGGCGACCTCACCACTAGGGGGGCCCAAGATAGGAAGATTTTCACAGAATCCTACATAGAAAAGAACCTCAAGCAACAATATAGACGGAGGGGTGGGGAGTGAAGTGTTCACCTTTTTGTGCTCGCCATGGACCCCTTTTCTGAAGTATTTTTAAATGTATAAAATACATAGGATTGCAAAGGAAACCAATCAAAATATCAAAATGCAGATGTAATTTTTTTTTTTCCATATCCAAGTTTACAGGCCTTCCTTAAATTATCCAGGTCTGTGAACACCAGGTTAAGAATTCCTGATCGAGATGAACCTGTACCTAAACAAAACTCCTCCAAACCTGACAAGTGGGTCTCCAACCTTTGCTTGAAAATCTGTCTTAAGTCTTCATTCCAGATACTTGAGTAATTACTGTCTTTTTAACTTAACAATTGTCAGTGGCTGCTTTGCAGAAGTAAATACACTGACAAGTAATATAGAATATTCCCAAATTAAGGTAAGGCATGGAGGGGGAGGTTACCAACTTTATGGAAGAAATGATAATTGTTTTAAAGTAAAATGCTGTGACACCATAAATATTCAATTACCAAGTAGTTGTTGTCAAGTTTTAAAAGGGTTGCAGACATAAATCTAGAAAACTGTTAAAAAAAATTTTAAGCCTCACTGAACACATGTAAAGGGATCAGCCAGTAGGCCTTTTAAAAAGAATCTTTAAGAAATACAATGAAACTATAGGAATTCTGAATAGTAGTGTATATCAACTTTGGGAGCAGCCTTCATTCATGCCATATTTGAATTGTCTGGAATTTGAGGTTTGCACAGCTTATCACTTATTCTTAATGAAACAGAAGTCATGGCTAATCCTGGCTTTTCTTCACCCATCCTATGTGTCCTGATACTGGAGAAAATCCAATTCAGCAAAAAAAAACAAAACAAACAAAAAAAAAAACCCCAAAAAACAAAAAAAAAGGCTGTTCAGATAAAGATACAACTTTGTTTTTATTCAGTTTAGAACCACCCTTTTCAAGGACATCATCCGTAGTTTTTATTCAAGTAGGAAGACCTTCCTTTTCCCACAAAATCTTAACAGAGAAGGCACAAGTTGTTGATGAATAGCCAATGTTCATATAAAACTGATTTTCCTAGCTATTTCAAAGCACATGTGTACAAGGAAAATTACATTTAATCCTAAGTTAGATTTAAAGATATCCAAGAAGCTTAACAAAGATATATATTACACATACAGTAGAGAACTTAGTAAGTGCCTGCATAAGAGAATATACTTAAACACCAAAATTATGTTTAAAGAAACCTCCATAGAAATCAGTTTATTTTGCAGAAAAATCTGTTTCGAGAGTCATCTACCCAGTTTCAAATAGATATCTCCCCCTTCACTTTAATAAGGCATTTCTAAAAACCTGAATGTGAAAGAGTCAGTTCCTGACATCACAAATGCAAAACTCTCAAATTCTTCATAAATAGCACAAACAAGATTACAAGAAATACTGAAGCACTCCTTTACATACAAGTTATGCTTATTGATACATAACAGCACTATTTCCTAGCTTAGCTGGAGCTACTAATTGTCCTTCAAAACAGAACTGTTATATATTTATTTGTAATTCAAAAGGAAACTCCTCCCTTCTGTGCACTGGTCCAAATTGGAGAGGTATATATTGAATTGTGTCCCCACTTATTTCTTTGAAAGTATATGTGTATATGTTTGTAACGTTATGTAACTCTTGCATAGACTCTGGATATAGTTACTGAGCTTTTAACAAAAACAACCTTAAGTCAGACAAATTAATGGTTATCTTAGAAGGAGTCTTTGAGAGGCACCAAGAGCCAAAATTCATTTCTGAAGAGACTTGGGACAGTCAATTGTCACGAAAGAATGCACCTGTGAAAGGCTTGTAGTCTAGAGAGACACTTTGAGGGAACTGACTTAACTGGATTCTCATGTCCACAAAGCTGTTCTATTCTGAGGAGAGATGATCAGTTAATAGAATTTTCAGAACGGAGTAAAATGTCACTCTGAGAAATTTGTTACTAAGATCTGGGAGAGCTTGGAGAAGCCAGCAGTTACTCCTGAGAGTCTCAGTCAGCAACTTCTCTGTTCTGCTGTTCCAGTACAGAGGGGTCTCTGGCTGGGACACTGAGATATTGCTTAAATATTCATATATTGTATTCTTTGTTACTGTTATTAAATTATATAGGCAGCAACTGATGTTCCTCTAAGCCTTTAAGTTTGGGGTCTGAGACAAAGGAAAGAATTTTACAGGAAAAGAGATTTCCTCTAGTTTACCACCTCACTCCCCCCTGGGGTATGGGCTCAAAGCTAGTGAATTAGTAGTGAATGTTTGTATTTTATGTAATTTGGGAGGTGATTTTATTTACAACCTTGGAATCTAAAGAGAGAGAAAGAATTAAGGTCAGTAGTAACAGACTGAAGAGTGAGAATGGTGTATTTGTTCCCTAGAAGACTTAAGAGGTATTTCTCACACACCAATTACAACCCCAAAGGAGTGCCATTTACGGGATTATGGCATGGGGGCGTTGACCAAAACCTGATGGGTTTATTCCTACATATGTGTACACACACAGACACATTCTGTACCACACCAAAATTTTTAAAAATCATGCATCCCAAGTGTGTGTACACTTCAAATATATATAGGTAGATACACATGTATATACACACACATACATGAAAATATATAACACAAAATCCATTTTTTCATGACCAAACATTGATACCCAAATATTCACACTCAATTAGGGATTGTAATCTGCAGGCTGGGCTTTCTAGTTAGGAAGAGTAAGGCAGGTGATAAAGGATCTATATAATTTTCTGAAGTTCACAGCCTCCCTCCTCCAGATACCTTTAGAAAATGTACAAACTATATTTTTCATTCTCCTGGCCCAGCTTAAGTCCTGAAAGAAGACTTTGTCTTTTTTTAAAAAAAAAAAAAAGCACTGAGGGGCAAGATGGCATCATGGATGAGGGTATGCCCCTAGAGAGTATATTCTAAGGCTTTTAGTCCTTGTTTGAGCTTATTCCCTGATGTTAAAAACTAGCTACATGGTGGGGGAGTCTGAAGTGCCGGGAACTCCTGGTGTGGAAATTTTCCCCTTATGGATACGTACTGGTAACATTTTGCTTATAGACTGCATTTTAGAGAACAGCCTAGAGCAGAAATGTTGCACTCAGGCCTGAGGGCTGCCTAAAAAGCTCCTTTGCGTTGTCCAAACCAGACTAAAATTAAGAAGAAAACTATAAAACAACATGGATATTAATTTGTGGTTTCCTAAGTTTCTATATAAGTGTGACAACACTGGCCTAGAGCAAGACCAGGTTAGTTAGGGGTTCTGCCCAAGATCACACAGCTAAGTATGTGTCATGCTGTACTCCCTTCTATACTGCCTCTCAGGCTTTAATAGGCTTTAAACATGGGTACATTCAGACCACAAAACACCAGCCCTATTTGAAATAAGCCAGATCTAAACCTTAGTACATTTCCACCCCCATGACTCTAGAATTCTCTGTGAAAAAGATGGTAAGGCCCCAAGTATTATTCATTGTGTACATTGTGCTGAAATTCTTGGCTGGAGACTAATGTCCCTTACTTACTTTCACAGAAATAGCTTTTTTTTTTTTTTTTTGTATTTTGCTTAAATTAAAACCATTTCCCATTGACTGGTGAAAATAAATGTCACCTTCACAGCCATATGCACAAGCTGGTTTCTCAACTTTGTCCTGAATTAGTATATTGGTTACCAAAAGAAATGGTTATAAATAGGATAAAGTACCACTGTTTGACAAGAACGTTCCTTACAAAACTTTTCTTTAGTGATCCATGAAGTTGATCGTAAGCAACCTCCCTCGTTTTCAGTCACTTAATTTCTTAAACTACTCAGTGAAAATATTGCATGTTTCTTATTCCTATAAGTGCATTTGCAAAACTTTTTTTCTTAAAATAGTATTTTGCCATCATCCTTCTGACAGCCTACACAAAATGCAGTGATGACCTGGGCAGATCCACAATGTGTGTATTATCTTCATTTACATTTTAAGCACCATACAGGTGTAAGGGTGTACGTATTATCTTCATTTACATTTTAAGCACCATACAGGTGTAAGGGTGTACGTAAGGATGACTAATAAGCCTTATCTTAACAGCTTTGTTTTCAGCTGGCAAAGGAGCTACATTGAAAGTAACAAGAAAAATACTTATTATTAAAACTAAAATATAGGCCAGATTGGTGGTTACATTAATTTACTGAAACCATACACTTGCTTTCCTCAGAACGGTTCCCTTGTTCCAGGCAAGCTTTGTAATCAGCACTAACAGGGATCGTATTTTTCCTGTAAGACAAAACAAGAAAAAGAGGATCACAGTCAAACAAGATTACCTAACGGTAATAAGTTAAACTATAAAAGAATTTCTAAAATGGGTATTATATAGAAAAGAACTCTTTCTAAATGATTCCTAATTCTTTTTAGAGATTCCCCACCCCAACCACCAAAGAAGAAAATCTGTTAAAAAATAATTCTGGCTCTGAGCAATTCTCTTCTCACCCTAAGTAGTAGTATGTATTACTTTACACAAAGTTCGTAACCAATCCACACGTGTTGAAACTGAGTTAATTTTCATTTAGCTGCAATACAAAAACAACTCAGAGGGACAGCTGAATAAAATGATAAAATTCAGAAATCTGTGACTCAACTGAAGCTTTTAAAAAGATAATTCATTCAGAAGACAGGAGTCCTTGAGGAATGTCAGTTTATCTAGCACGGATGGGAGAACAAAACATTCTGTATAAGTGAATTCTGTGGCTAATTAATGCCTAACATTTTAAACAATAACTACTATGAAACACAAACCATCTTAATGGCAGTCTTTCTGGCATATATTACAGATTTCCATTTCATAAATAAGTTGGATATAAACCAATTATTTACCAAGAAGTTTTTTTCTTGGAAGGTACAATATTCCTGACAACCAACAGCAGCACAGGAGCACCCACCAAATGTTGTAATTCCTTCTTTGGAAGGAACTTTTTTTTGAAAGTAAACTTTTAAGCTCAGGTTCAAACTTCCTGGTAAATAAATGTTTTATATTTCTAAGACAGGAAAAGATGTAATCTATTTCATAAAGACTGAAATAAAAAATGTTTTACTGATGCCCCCAGGCTGTGATGCTGTTCTAGTGTCTCCTGCTTCAATGAAGCCCTCAGATGGGGGAGGTTCTTGACTTCTCCCTAATTCCCACCCCATTCAATACAATCACTTCCGTTTTATTCTTCTGTTCATTGAACTTGTATTAACTGGAGGTTTCCAGAGAAATTAAGATAACTATGCTTTCTGTAAAATAAACAGTAAACATAAGCTTCCTGAGGGCAGAAACTCTTTTTTATCTCTATCTCCCTAGCAGCTAGCACAATGCCTGGCACATAGTAAGTGCTTACTAAATGCTGTCAACTGATGAATTGCCTAGGAAGGGACACTACTACCACTATTAATAGGCTTGGAAGCAGATAACTGACCCAGGATTTTTCAGTTCTGGATCTGTACCTGTGTAGGAAGGCTGAGGGACCGATCTCCACATAAGTGGAACACTTAATTTTTTTTTGGCCCTTTCCTCCAAAGCAATAGTCTGTAGTGTTTTAAAACTTCTTCAGAGAACTTTTTTAGAAAGCATGTTTTATAATCAAGTACAGTTCAATGCCAGAAGATTCAGTAGTTTAGCAAAGAAAACATGGCACAAGTTTTTCCTTTCTGTCCCCTGCAAATATGCCACAACTTTGGTTAGTTCCCAATGAAAATTTCTGAACCCTTTTCAAGTTGAGTATAACTTAAAGATACAATTTGAGCTACAGATACCTTTGAATGATTTAAGTAAACCTTTCTTTCATTAAGGTGTCTTCTTTAGCAGTGACAGAATTTAAATGTGTTTCTTCTTTGTGGATTTCATCAGTTACGTATGTGCTGAACAGAGGAAGGGAAAAAGGTCTGACTGAATAAAATATGAATGATCAATCATACCAAAGAAAAGGAAGAAGTGGGGATAGGAAAAACAAGCAAAATCAATTAAATGAGAAAGATGAAGTAACGCTAAAAAGTTAATTTAGGTTTGTCTCTGCTTTGTGGTTTTACTAAAAATATAATATAAATTCAAATTAATGTGTGTTCTTAATTTGAACAAGATTAAAGACGATCTAACCAAATGGAGAAATTCCAAACTTCTGCCTCTTCAGTGATGACCTGTGCATGAGCATTAAGCAGTTATATGGTCTAAAATTATTTCATCTACTAAAAGATCGTATCAAAAGAAATAGTACTGGGACCTAATGCTCCAAGTTTTTGGTAAGTTATTGAGTATGCCTATAGAGGAGATATGCGTTCATACGGTTCAATTTTATGGCAAGAAGTTTTTCCAATATATTCAGTTCAGCTTCAAGTATGCCTACTACTGATTATCATGGGCAGACTAACTATGAAAAAAAAATTTGCTTTTAAGTAATATCCTGTAAGAGCAAATAATTCATCACTTCTCAAGTTCCCAAAGTGTGAATTCTAGAAACAGCAGTCAGACTTGAATTTAAGTCAAGAATGCACCACAAATAATTTTTGCACTCTTGTGATACTGTTTCCTTTTACATGTTTATATGCGTAAGTCAGAACAGGATGTACTAATATGGCATACATTATAGTGCTTTGTCTATTTCAGAACCAGAGGCAAGCAGAAAATAAATTCAGGCTCAGATTCTTAAAATCTGGCCAATACGGTGACTCTTTAATAAACCTTGTCTCTGGCTGAAAAAAAAATTACTTGCACTGTTTTTCAATATCTTTCCCAACTCAACTTCACTCATTTTTGTCTCCTACAAATCTTAGTTTGGCTACTATGACAGTAAAAACGAGTTTTTCCATAAACACTTGTTTAAGGATAGGCAAGATGAAATTTAAAATAAGAAAGTAAAAAATTATAAGAATATAGCAAGAAATTATGTAATTATTAATGGGTTCATTTTTCTAACAAAATCATAGGGTGATTTAAGAAAAACTAGCTAGTAACACAGAAATGTAAAATAAAAAAGACAACCTATTGACAGTTTTCTTTAATCCATTAACACTCATCATGGACAAACATATACTCTTCTGTCCAGCTATAACGAACAATCTTTTAATGAGGAATAAGATTTTATCTATAGTGGCAAAAGAAAGAGAAAGCTTTAATAAAGTCTCAAAAGGCAAATTGAAATAAAACTAAAAATACTTAAGCTCTTTATAATGATAATGCCTTTTGTGTAAGTATAGCATTTCCTCTATTGTTCAGTAATAAATAAATAAATCTGGTAACATTTGAACTCACTAGGTTTGAGTTAAAGGTGATGTCCAAGTTATTAAAGTGGCGATGTTATTTCTATAGGCAGAATCAGTCAGAAGACACAGTATTCCTCAGAAATAATTCTAAAGCACAGCTATCTTTGTTTCACCCTAATAATTACTTTCAAAATCTGCTGGCAATAAATATATTCATTTACATCTTCTTATTTTCTTATTCAGTAAATTACACATTTGCTTTTCAAGCTTTCTGCATTTGTAAAAGGCTAACAAATATGCTATTAACTTGCTAGGTTTTCTAGATCTTGCCTCTGTCAACCACTACAATTAAGTTTAACCACATCATTTTTAAGTGCAACTAATTAATTTGCAACTCCTCCAAATTAAGAGGAATTTAAGAAAACAAATAGCAATTGAAAAATCTGCAGATAGTCCTTATGAAAGACAATTCTAAAATAAATTTCTCAGATGGGATTACCATATTGCTTCTACACCTACATAGGAATTAGTCCCCGAAGTTGTATAAGGGGCAAACATGGAATTTGTCACCAACATACCAATATCACAACCGTCAAATTTTCCAAAAGAAAACTTCTCATATCTGTATCTCACAGGGTTGTCGTGAGATTTAAATAATGAAATAAATGTAAAAAGTGGCTTATACACATAAAGTGCTAAATAAATATTTGGTATTATCATTAATATTATTGGTATTATCATCATTATTCTGGGTTGTTGGGTTCATTTTGAAATATGAAATAAGCTTTGTTTTGAAGAAGTCCATGAGTCTCTGCAGAATTTTAATATCTAGTTACAAAGAACTGCCTTTTGTTTTGAAAATCTAAAGCAACTTTACTAATTAATTCTTGTGCAATGATTACAAAAGAAGGCAAATGGATAAAAATATTTTCCTTCAACAGCTTACCACAAATCATGGGTACCAGGTTGTTACGACACTGAGCTACTTATTTCATTGTGGTACCTCTTTAATTCACTTTTACCTAAAACTTCAGAATTGTACATTGTTCTTTCTGCTTTTGCATATTCAGTTTACTATAATGATAATCTGGAAAAAAAAAGGCAATATTTATGACACTGGATGGTATCCCTTGTTACAGGTAAGAGTATGTGAACCTCAAAATGACTATTATGAAAGTGTTTTGCATGACTACACATGTACAACCTCTATCGAGTTGCTTGCCTTCCCAATGATGGTGTGTTGGGAGGGAGGAAGGAAGAGAATCTGGAACCCAAAATTTTAAAAACACATGTTAAAAACTGTTTTTACATGCAATTGAGAAATAAGATATACAGGCAATGGGGTATAGAAATCTATTCTGCCCTACAGGAAAACGGAAGGGGAAGGGTTAAGAGAAAGGGGGGGTGATAGAACAGAGGGCAGATTAGGGGAAAGGGTATTCAGAATGCATGCCGTCTTAGGATGGGAGGAAGGAAGAGATGGGGAGAAAATTTGAAACTCAAAATCTTGTGGAAGCGAATGTTGAAAACTAAAAATAAATAAAATAAAAGAGAATATTAAAAAAAAGAAAGAAAAAAAAGAGTATATGAACCTGCCCTAAGAGTTCCTTAGATTTCTTAGCTACCAAACTATGAATTAATCTAGCCATTTGTATCTACATTCAAAAAGATCATTAAACTATGAACACTTTGACCTAGAATAGAAATACAAATACTAGGCCTATACCTCCAAAGAGATCAAGAAAGAGGGAAAGGACCCATATTCACAAAAATGTTTATAACAGCTCTTTTTGTAGTGAAAAACAACTGGGAACTAAGTGGGTCCCACTGGGCTGGGGATAAGTTAAAACAAATTATGGTATATGAATGTAATGGAACAGTACCGCCCTGTAAGAAAAAATAAAGGAGTTTGATTCAGGAAGATATCTTAGACTTCAGAATGAAGTGAGCAGAACATACAGAACAATTTAAATAATAACAAAAAAATAACTAATACTTTAACAACTCAGACTAATATGACCAGCCATGATTCCAGACGACTAGTGATTAAATGTTATCAAGTGGTGAAGTCAAAGTGCAGAATGAGACATACATCCTCAGACATGGCCAATGTGTGGATTTGTTTTCTTTCTTTAAATTCAGTATGGAATATTTAGGTTACCAAAATGGGGAGAAGAGGTCACCAAGTATTTTTTAAAATGCACATAAGAAACAGGAGCATCAACAGAAAACAAAGAGCAGCTCTGAAAGTAACATGTTGAATTCATCATATACCTAAAAGAAAGCAAAATGTAATATGGATCTGTAGCTTCGTGGACTCCTTCCCCCCAATAAAAAGACTTGTGAAGCATCAATGATATGATTCTGGTCTAGCCTGAGGTCCACTTGCTGAGGGCACCAGCATGGGGTGATCTGGCCACTGATGGTCCTACTGGTTCCATTTGTGGCTGTGATCAACGAACCAAGTTGTGCACGTTGAGAGGGGCCCTTTCAGTGCCCTTCTGTAGATCCTAGATTGGCACTTTGACTTGAGTTTGGAAGCCATCATCTTATGGAGTGAATTGCCTTTTTCTTTCTTTGAAAGCCTGTGCCCTTTCCCCAACAAAATAAATTTGACCTGGCTCTTAAATACAAAGCAAATTTGCCAAGTCTAGTATTAACATTAATATACTGGAAAAAAAGGAAAAAATACTGATTGTACAAGTCAATGCAAAAGAAAATATTCTGGATGGAATTGTAAAAAAAAAAATGATCCATTTTAAAAGATACTTTGACTCACCCTTTTTGCATGTACTGACGATAAAGGATAAAGCCGATTATTGCAAGCACAATACCTATTAAAAAAATCGAAATATCATGGAATGTTGAAAAACAGCAAGCTTCTTAATTTAATGACAGAGCTGGCCACTGTGAACACATAGATAGGCACATATACTACAAATTCATACTAGGTACTAGGTAATACATTACTCATCCAGTTTCAGTGTATAAAATACTTTTTGCCTGTCAGGCATTCTAAAAATCAGTAAGAACGGATTCCTAGCAGAATTTATAAGGCTACCAGAGCACAATGAAGGGAAACTCACTTAATTCAACATTAGGGGGGAAATTACTTTTTAAAAGACTGAATGGTTGTAAGTACAAAGAGCCGTTCAAAATCACTATGACAAAGTAGAATCGTGTGATTCCGTGTCAAAGAAGATTTGTTTATTTCACTCTAGGTTGATGGTCTCCAAGGTGGAATGCATCCAATATGATCCTTGTAAGGTACAGGAAAAAAATGCATTTCAAATGCATTTTTATCTAAAAATAAAGAACTTCATGGATTAACACTGGTACCAAGTAGATCTGTATGTCATAGAAGAAGAATGAAAATTCCACCACTCAGTGGTGTGGTGTTATCACCTGTTCATTCACTTACCATGATGCATGTAGTTGAGATGATGCCCAATTCAGTGGATTTATAGAATATATTATCTAGCTTTAACCAAACAATCTTCACAAAATGGACAAGAATTTTTAAAAAGATATCTGCAAAGAAACTGGATTATAGGTTCGCATACCACACTCTGTGTATGTGTGTGTGTGTGTGTGTCTGTGTGTGTGTGTGTGTGTGTGTCTCTCTCTCTCTCTACTGGAATGATTCAAGCATAGTAGCCTTGGGTGACTCAGATTTAAAAAAAAAAACAAACAAACCCCAAAATGCTAAAAGGTTAAAAAAAAGTCGATTTCCAGGGGGGCGCTGAGTAATTTTTTTTAAAAGGGGGCAGAAGGCCAAGTAACTTTGGGAACCTTTGCTATAGATTGAAGATAATAATGTAAGCACAGACAAACAACAATAGCAGAGGTTACACGTCTATTTCTGAAACAATCTTCATTAGTCATATAGGCAAGCTAAAAACGATCTGATAAAATGGGACAGCTGGTTGAAAAACTCAAATTAAAATTATTGGAAATATTAGTTTTCCTAAATCAAGTGTATGCTGAACTTCAAGATATTAGCTAGTGATAGCATGAAACCATCACAATTTTAAAAAATTGTTTTTAAACAGTATTTTAAGCCATCACAACTTGAAAAAGCATAAACCTAAGCTTCTATTTCCTTAAAACAGTATGTGTCACAAAAAATTCATTTATGGACATAACCTGGAAAGAGAATTTTCTATCCTGTTCAAAAATCTTCCAAAAGTAGAATAGAATGCAAAACCTTTCAATTAGTTTGCAAGAATAACTGACATCAAGGAAGATGTAAAGTTACCAATGCAATGTCAACAAATTGGATAATTGGTGGATAAGACCAAAGAATAGCTCGACTTGGTAAACTAGTCAATATGCACTTCTTCCATCTGTATCTACATATCTGAGGCTCTAGACTTCTTTCTCCAGCCTTCTCGTACAGGAAAATCATTCAGCCCTCAGCAGCCTTCTCCTCCTAGCAGATCACTGGGGCACCTGCCTTTAATTGGTCAGTTTCTCCAAGAACTTCTATTTTAAGCAAAGTGCTCACACCTGTCAGGGTCACTCCTTCATTCCACTCCTAACTTCTTTCTCCACCAAGTCCCCTCCTCCCCCTTATCAGCTTCCTTTTCTGTACAATCTTCCCCTATTAGAATGTAACCTCTTCAAGGGCAAGACTATCTTTCTTTTTGCATGTATTTGTATTCCAAGTGCTTAGCCAGAGGGTTTGGCACGTAAGAAGTACTTAATAAACAACTGTTGACTTGACAACTTGACATATTTTTGTGTAGCATATTTTTCAGCTACGAAATCCATTAAAATCAAGTATTAAACTGAGCTCAGAGCCATACCTTTAAATCATTACTAACAATGTTTTCACTAAAAATGCTAATAATTTTAGAATGAGCAAAGTTTTTTTTTGCATTAATGACTTTTAAAGTAAAATGTTTAAAATATTATTCCATTTTTTAATCTCATCCTTAATTTCCACTTTGTGGCTTATGTGTACAATATATTAATATAGCACATAATTTATAAATAAATGTATATATTGAGGAATGCAAACTCAATAAATTTTCACTGATACACAAAAGTAACCAAAAATGTCTGGAGACCATTAATCCACAAGACCAAATGATAATTGTGAACAGTAACAAAATGACACAAATAATTCTGCTTTTTTCCCATTAAACCATGTAGGCTTCACTTTAAAACAAGATTATTAAGATTTTGTGCTACTTACCTGCAATAAGAACTATCACGATAATGATACCGACACCTAAAAAAATTAAAGTAATTCAGCATGAAATACTGTGCACTTTTTCATCTCTATACTATATGAGGTAGAACACTAAAAATGGTTAATCAATTTATAACGAGCTTTTAGAACTGCTCTTAAAGCCCCTAGTTCATTGAACTCACTGAACTTTTAATTAGCTTTCAAACTGTAATATAGAAAACTGAGAGCAGCAACCTAGTTTTATATTTTTCTGTGCATTACTAACAGCAGGTGCTTAGTAAATGTTAATTACAATGATTGAAGTAGAAGAAAAATAAGCTAATACTTCACTATGCTATTGCTGTATCCATTTCTACTATTTCCTGTATTATCTGGTTTAAACTTGGTTTTCACATTAATGAAAAATGTGTCCCAATTACAATTAAGTTTAGGAACCTCAGAGGACGTGTCCATGAAAATGTTTACTGGAGTTCACTTAAAAGAGCATTAGCCAAACATCTAAAAAGATGAGCAATTCTAAAAATGCTCATAAAATGTCAGAGCATATACACTGAGATCGTATCTGGGAATCTAAACAGGCACCTGTGAAAATTCAAGAAGAAATATTTATATACAATTCAACTTACAAATTTGTACAAGAAGTACAAATGAGTAGTATGTGACTCAGTCCACCATGTACCATTAACAAGGCTCAACTTTTACTGCTCCCCAAGAAAAAAGACCAGAATCAAATTTAAATGGGACATCTTTCTCCTTCACTAACAAAAATGAGGTATGAAGAATTTTTTGTGAAGAATTTATGTGAAGAATTAGGGCTTTAACCTAGATCTGGAATGAATGAAGGCAAAGAATGTGACAGAAGGAAAAATAAGTCCCTGAAAAACCAGGGACCATTAGTCAAAAATCACATAACTTAGTTTGTGAACTTTCATATTATTTCTTCTTGCCTACTATTTCCAAATTATCATGAAGAGAACCCTATAGAGAATGTGCACATTAAGTAAGGGATGAGGTAAATATTAGAGGATCTGCTTAGATGACAGAAAAATTGTTTAACATTAAGAGTACCTAAAGGTCCAGGAGGCAACAAAAGTTCTAGGCTGATGGTGCACCTCACTCATTAAAGTAAGGGTTTTTAACCTAGGGTCTATAAACTTTTTTTTTCCATTTTGTTAACTGTATTTTAATAACTAGTTTCCTTTATAACTCTATATATTTTACTTAAACTAAAAGTATTTATCTAAGAACAGATTCATAGACTTGCCTACCACAGTCAACATTAAGTATTTATTGAACATCTATTATGTGCCAGACACTGTGCAAAGCCACAAATGACCCTAACACAAAAAAGGTTAAGAACTCTTGCATCAGAAGCAGCTTTACCAAGGAATAACCAGCAAGAGCCACTACACAGAAGTGAAAACAGGAGAAGACTGAAAAAATATTCTAGCCTTTAACATTTTCCTGTTCATTACAGAATAATTTGGGCCATAGCAAGTAACTTTTCCTGTCTGCATGATTATTATTACATGAGGAGTTACTGAACTTAGTCCTTGTGGTTCTTTATTAGGAGGAAGCGGAGGCCCTGGAAAAGACAAAAAAGAAAGCAGATTCAGTCAAAAATTGAGATGAGTAAAGTGATTCCCATCAGTATTTGTTTTACCTTTCATCTGTTAAAAGGAAAACTCTTGCAATTTTGTTTTCCCTTACAAACTTTTTATCAGCTGTTAAAGTTTTATCACTGAAATTCTGTAAGTCAATTCTGACATTATATGCAGTGGAAAAACGCTAGTAGCTTTCCCAATAAATATAGGAATAAAGTCTCTGTAATTTGACACAGTTCCAGAAATACCAACAAGAACAATCAGACAAAAAAAAAAGATATTAAAAGGCAAAGAGTTAACTAAACTATCCCTATTTTCTGATGACATGATTTACTTAAGAAGCAATAAACTCTAATAATTGATTACTTCAGTAAAGTATAAAGTCACAAATAAACTCACAGAAATTAATAGCATTTCCACATAGTGATAAGATCCAGAAGGGAAATGTAAAAGGAAAAAGTCTCATTTAAAATAATTACAAAATACATAAAATACATGGGAGTCAATATTCCAAAGATTACTGAGTAACTACAAAGATACAATTATTCATTTAAGGAATATTTTTAAAAAATTTAAATAACTGGATAAATATTGATCAATTCTCCGTGCATTTAAAAAAAATGGCTCAATGACTCTTTTTTCTTTCTTTTCTTCTTTTTTGGCAACATAATCACTCATACACCTCTCCCATCTAAATCCCCTCCAAGGAGGGGGAGCCCAACTTATAGTAAAGAGAAACAGTGTCTTCATATGTAACTTTAGTCCATCATCTCTCTTGTGAGGAAGGGAGTAAGAAGACATTCTGGAGTCATAGCTGGTTGTTATATTGATCAGAGTTCTTAGGTCTTTCAAAATTGTTTTTCTTTACAATGCTGTATAAAATGTCCAGATTCTACTCACTTGGCTCTGCATCAGCTCATACTAGTCTTCTCAGTTTTCTCTGAAAATGTCTCTTTTATCATTTATTAATGATAAATAATAATCATTTATTCCATTCAAAGTCCAACTATTCCTCAATTGAACACCTTTAGTTTCTAGTTCTCTTCTAGTTTCTTGTAGCTTTCTGTTTTGTTTTGGTACTTTGAGAGACAAAAGAAGATCAAAGAATAGGACATTTGGGGCAGCTAGGTGGCTCAGCAGATAGATCTCAGGAATACCTGAGATGAAACTCAAGACACTTAACTAGCTGTGTGACCCTGGGCAAGTCACTTAACCCAGATTGCTGCCTTCCCCTACCCCCCCAATAGGACCTTTCTTTGGCATAAATGGGTAATGAAAACTGACAACAAAGAGAAGGCAGGGTGCTCAACCCTTATTTGGTTTTCTATTTCCTTTGCAAAAGAGGATAGCCCTCACATTAGAAATGAGCAAACAAAAATTACTACCAGGGAGTTAATACTCAAGTTAAAGAGCTAGAAAGAGTACCTAGGGGCAGCTAGGTGGCACAGTGGATAGAGCACTGGCCCTGAAGTCAGGAGGACCTGAGTTCAAATCCGGCCTCAGACCAACACTGGACACTTACTAGCTGTGTGACCCTGGGCAAGTCACTTAACCCCAATTGCCTAAAAAAAAAAAAGAAAAAGAATAAAAAGAAAGAAAAAAAGGTGAAAAAAAAAGAGTACCTAGCTGACCTTAATGAATTCAAGTTACTTGGCCCTTGAGTCCAGAAAGAACCGGCAGATATGTGATCGTTAGGTCTCTGTCAGCGAAACTTGAAAGATCATGGAAGGACAAACCACAATATTGAAGAAGGGTAAATGTTGTCCTGATTTTTCACAAGAAGGAAAATAAGAGTCTGGAAACTATAGCTTGACTCTGATTACTGGGAAAATACTACAACAGATCATTAAGAGACATTAAGGCTGGCAAACATCTAAAAAGGGAAGTAATGATTACAAGGAGCCAGGCACAGCTTCATCAAGTGCAGGTCATAATCAAACTAATCTCATTTCCCTTTTTGATAAGATTACTAAGCTAGTACACTTGAGGGGAATGCTGCAAATATAGCTTACTATATTTTAACAAAACCTGAAAAGTATCTCATACTATTCTTGTGGAGAAGATGGAAACACATGGGTTAAATAATACAGTCAGATGGATTCAGAACTGTTTGGACTCAGACAGGAGTTGTTATTGTTTCAATGTCAATAAGGCGGGAGGTCTCCAGTGGCATACTCCAGACATCTATGCTTTTTAACACTTTTAATCAATGCCGTGGATGAAGGCAGAGATGTTATACTCAAACGTGTAGATGACAGAAATCTGAGAGAGATACTAATACAAAAAATGACAAGATCCAAAAGAATGCTGACAAGCTACAACACGGCTAAATTTAATAGGATGAAATTCAAATAGGATAAATGCAAAATTCTGTACTTGGGGACAAAAAAAAAATCCACTTCGTAAGTATGAGATTAGTAAGCCATAAATGGACAACAGTTATTCTGAAAAACAACTAAGGCTTTCATTGTAGTACAGCTTAATGAATCAATGACATATTGGAACAAAAAAGCTAACATGATCTTGGGCTGCACTAAGAAAAACAGGGCTTTCAGGATTTCATAGTCCACTGTACTCTGACTTTCAATTGACTATCTAGAATACTGGGCTCAATTCTGGACACCACATTTTATGAAGGACACTGACAAGTCAGAGTATTCAGGAGGGCAACCAGAATGGTGAAGGACCTTGGGTTCAGGTCATATGAAAATTAGTTGAAGAATCTGGTGACAGCCGGAAAGAGAAGACTCAAGGGTGATGTGTTATCTGTCACTGATATCTTGAAGGGCTGTCCTTGTAAGACAGATTAAACTTGTTCTATTTTGGTCCCACTGGGCAGCACAACAAGCAAAGAGCTCTAAGTTGTAAAGAGGACACATTAGGCTTGCTGTCATACAAACTTCCTAATGATTAGAGCTGTCCAAAAGGGGAATGGCCTGACTAAAGAGGGGGATGGCTCCTCCTCTTGGAGGTCTTCAAGCAGAAGCTGGACAAACAATGTTATAGTGGGCTTTCCTTTGGTATATGGGATGGATTAGATGACTTCTGAGGTCCCTTCCAACTCTCAAAATCCATGACTATGTAAATGCGGAGATACTACAATGACTGAGATATGAGAAATGTAGAAATATGAGAAAGCACCTTTTCCTTCTGCTATGCAGTGGTGGGCACCAAAGGTGTAGAAAAATCAATGCGTTGGTTAGTTTTGTTGAACTGTTCCCCCCTCTTTTTAATTTACTGTCATAGAGGACTCTTCTCTGGAAGGGATGCATTGGAAAATGTGAGTGAGTGATAAAAAGACAACAGATGCCAATATTTACTTTTTTTTAAAAAGGATCAGTCTATTCTGAGGTTCACTTAAGACAAGAGAATGGGGAACTTCCCTGGTCATCTCAGAACAGCTCTAACCTACTACAGAAGTTTGCTCATAGTAGATATTTAGTAAGTGTTTGTTGAATGAGGAATATACCAAACTACATGTATTCTGAAAAATGGAAAATGCCCTGGAAGAGCAAGGCAGCTTTGTCACTTCTCCAAGGATAGCCAGAAAGAGCCATTGAGCGAATCACTAAACAGAGACACAGGAGTAGAATACATCGTTTTACACTTCCCTCCTTACTGATAGTATAGTATCATTTAGAGTGTCATAATGCTTAGGATCATAAAAGATGATGGGTGAAAAGCAGCATAAACAACTACAATTTGTATAAAAAAATGCTAAATGAGGAATTACTGAACCTGGTTGACTTGAGACAGGTGGTTCTGGTTGGGAAGTATTACGTAATCCTAGAAAAGCCCCCCCAAAGAAATGCAGATTTAATTAAAAACAACAACAAAAACCCTACTTTACAAACCATTGCTCTAGCTTCATCAGTATAATGTTAAAGTTTTTTACTTTTAAACTCTAGAAATAAAAACTCCAGTGTCTCTTTGCCTAATGACCTCAGATTATTATTAACCAATTCTTATTCTTTTCAATGCAATAATTTGTAAACTCCACTTATTACCATGGAAACTTTACAAACATATAGAAAGCACATGGGTACTCAACTCCTATGAAAAACTAAAAAAAAAAAAATCAAATTAAATACACACTGGGTTATTTATTAGGGTGAACTACATTAATAAACATTTATTTATAATGGACATGAAAGTATAAGATGAGTTGCCAATGAGTAAAAGTGACAGCCAATAAATAAAAATTAATCCTTATAAAATGTAAGCTATTATTTTATATTATAACCCACAAAAATCCATAGAATCTATACCCATAGCCTATTTGGGTATTACCATACCTATATCCTATATGGGAATCCTAGACGAAAGATTCTTTCAATTACAGTAGTTACTAGCATATAAGAATAATTCCTTGCCCAGATACTTTATAGCCCTTTCTTAGGGCTATAAAAAAAATTCAAGGCGAATTTTTTATCACTGTTGACGGGAACTAACATTTATGTAAGCATTTTAAGATCTGCAAAATACTGGTATGTTATCACATTCGATCCTCAAAACAACATTCAAGTGCCAGAGTCAGAGGTACATTTCCCCTTGGACAGAGTCTGGAAGGCTTGATCAGAGCTGTTGACAACGCAAGTCCTTTTGTATTTACTTCTAGAAAATAGTATTTACCCCACTTCGTCAATTACCAAATACTTTCTACTCTAACTGCAAATCAAAGGCCCCCCAACATGGAAGAAATCAATCTGGAAGAGGTGAAAAATAACAGACATTTCCTCTTGAAACCTTGGGGCAGAGAGATAAATGAATGTTGGAAATGGGATAGTATTTACGGGACTTATAAACTCTACCTAAGCATTTCACTGAGTGCTTAGTCCCTAAAAAAAAAAAAGAAAGAAAGAAAGAAAGAAAAGAAAAAGAATTTTAAAATCTTATATATTTACTTGATAAGATTTTGGAGGGTGTTTGTACTTCAATGGGAATTTAATCCGCATTACCTGTGTGATCATACCTTCCTTGGGCCTCATTTTCCTCATCTATAAAATGAGGGGACTGAACTAAATGGCCTCCAAGGCCTCCTTCCAGGTATGGTTCTGTGACTAATGAAATGTCTAGGTGTCATCTGCAGAGGTACACTGTTATTCCTATTCATTGTCCCAGCAACAGTAAGGTAGGGGAAGGTTCTGAGTAAAATCAGGAGAGAGTATCAGGTGAGTGCTAGGAATACTACATGGGTCATATGAGAACAGTTTCCAAGCTCAAAGCACCTTCAACAGTTCAGAACACAACAAATGAACTGAACTCTGAAAAATGAAAAACTCTATGATGAATTTACTGAAGATTAGTCAGCAAGGGTCATTAAATACCACCAGAAATAGACATGGGGGAGGAACTGAACCTTAGCCTTTTCCCCTTCCCTTTTCACTACATATCTTACTTCATTTGTATCACCACTGAATTTTCAGTTCAGTGAAGATGGTGAATGAATGATAACTCAAAAGTACTGTAAGATTTTTTTTTTTTTAACAATATACACTAAATGAGGAATTACTATACCTGGATGACTTGAGACAGGCGGTTCTTTACTGGGAGGTTCTAGAACTTCAAAAAGAAAAGCAAATGTCAAAAAGTTTAAAAGCTACCTCTCTTATTAGTAATGTTATGTTTTGCCTTTTAATTTCTTAAATAAAAATTCCTGTAATTTTTCTTTATTGTCAGTCAAGTCAACAATTCCTTATTAAGTGTGTACTATGGGCCAGGCACTGCATTAAGAGCTGGGGATACAAAGAAAGGTGGGGAAAAAAAACCATACATACATAAACACACATATACATAAAACAAATCAGAGATAATCAACAGACAGAAGAGATTAGCATTTAGGGGAATAAAGAAAGTTTTGTGGATAGAATTTTGGCTCAGCCTTTATGGAAGCCAGGAAGGCCAAGAGATGGAGACAAGCCAGAGGAGGGGGACAGTCAGAAAAATGTCTACAGTTGGGAGACGGAAGTGTCTTGTGCAAGGAACAGCAGGGAGGTCAGTGTCACTGGATCTCAGAGTATACAAGAAGGAAAGTGCATTTAAGAAAACTGAAAACAGAAGAGGCCCAGGCTATGAAAGATCTTAAACATTAAACAGAGGATTTTATATTGGATCCGGGTTAAATAAATGGGGACGGGGGGAAGCAACATTACACCTGTACTTTAGGGAGATCAATTTGACAACCGATTGGAAGACGGACTAGAGTCGAGAGAGACCTGAGGCAGGGAGACTAACCAGAAGGCTACTACAAGTTTAGGCATAAGTTAATGAGGGTACTAGGATAGTGGCAGTGTCAGAAGAAAGACAGTGTCATATTCAAGAGATGTTGTGAAGATATAACAGACAGAACTTGGCAACATATTAGATACGAGGAAATAACAGATAAGTGAGGAGTCAAGAATGATACCTACATTGCAAGCTTGGTGAACTTAGTGATCATGCCTTTGACAGTAACAGTAAAGTTAAGAAGAAAGGAGGTTTGGGGTGGAAAGATGAATGCAGTTTTGGGCATGTGGGGTTTAAGATATCTGTGAGATATCTATTTGAAAATGTACAACAGGCAGTTGGAGATGAGAAACTGAAGGTCAGGAGAGGTTAAAGCTGGAGAAGTGGATTTGGGAATCATATGAAAAGGAATTATTCCTTTTCAGTCCATGAGAACTGATGAGATAACCAAATGAATTAGTAGAGGAAGAAAAGAAGAGGGGCCCAGCACAGAACCTTGAGAAACATCCACAGTTAGAGGGCATGACCTGGATTAAGAGACAGAAAAAGAGACTGAGGAGTGACTAGACAGGAAAAAAACCAGGAGAGACTGGTGTCATGAAAACCTAGAGATAAGAAACTATCAAGGAGAAGAGGATAATCAACGGTGTAAAAGGCTGAAAGAGAAGTCAAGAAGGATGAGGACTGAGAAAAGATTATTAGATTTGGCAATTAAGAAATCACTGGAAACTTTAAAGAAAGCATTTTCAGTTGAGTGATGAGTTCAGAAGTTAAACTACAAAGAGTTAAGAAGAGAGTAAGAGGAAAGGAAGTGGAAGCACCAATTGTTGATGGCCTTCTCAAGTAGTTTAACCACAAAAGGGAGGAGAGACATGGGATAATAGCCAGGAAGGATGAACAAACCAAAAAAGGGATTCTGGAGGAAAGGGGAGATGTGAGAATATTTCAAGGCATCAGGGAAAAAACCAGTAGACAGGGTAAGATTAAAGATTAATGAGTGAGCTGGGATAACAGAATGGTCAATCCCCAAGACGAGATGGAGCAGGATCATTTCTGCAGGAGGAGGGGCTAGTCTTGGCAAGGAGAAGAACCACATCTTCATGCGAGACAGGAGTGAAGGAGACAGCAGCACAAGGCATTTGAGTGATACAGGATGAAGAAGAAGGGATAAGAGGGAACTCTTGGCAAACGGCCTCAGTTCTTTTCAGTGAAATAAAGGTAAAGTTCTCAGCTTAGAGAGTGAGGTAAGGGAAAATAACTCAAGTTTGAGGAAGGATGAAAGGTCTGAAAAAGCTGCTGTGGTGAGTGGGATGGTGAACTGATTAAAGAGGTATAAAAAGAATGCCCTGCAGTAGTGAGGGCCAAGTTGAGATAATGTAACATAAATCCGTAGCAGACCCAGTTAGCATAGTTGTGTGATTTTCTCCAGCTTCATTTAGGAGCACATGAGTAGAAGCAGAAGACAACAGGTGGTAGGAGAAATCCAAGGCTGAGATTTGGCAGAGAAAGACTAGAAAGGAAAAAAAAAGGCAAGGGCCTCAAGAGGACAGTGTAACATTGCATTAGTTCATCAACAGGTCAAGTTGGGCACAGAGGGCAAGGGAAGACAACATATGGGTGATATCCTGGAAAACAACTGAGAGGTGGAGGGACCGGAGGTCATGGTGTGAACAAAGAACAAGATTTGGGGCTGCAAAAAGAAGGAGAGGTAGAATGACAACTAACTGGGCATTCATGGACATGAAAATGGAACACTTATAAGTGAAGACAAGATCAAAGGTATGACCATCTCTATGTGTAGCTGAGGTAGGGTAGAGAATCAGGTCATGGGAAAAGAGTAAGTTGAAGAAAATGGAGGTAAGGGGGTTGAGAATGTATCAATAGGTGTGCTGAAGTCTCCCAATATGAGGGCAGTAGCTGGGGAGTGGAAAGATGTGAGCCAGACACTGAACTCAGTGAGGAAAGAAAAAGAATGTTCTAGAAGTTGGCAGAAAACAGCTACCAATCTTAATTAGGTAGTAGATGTGATGTGAATGAACTTCAGAGGAGGAGAGGTTACTAATTGACAGTGGTAAATAAATCGATAGCATAGAAGAGGCCACAGGGAGCAAAGGGAATCTCAAATCCCCCAACCACGACCAGTGACATGGAAGGCTAGAGTGAAACTACAACTAGTGCTAGAAAGGGCAGACAAGTTAGCTGTGTCACTAGAAGGGAGCCAGGTTTCAGAAAAATGAAAGAAGATGGAAGGAGTAGGAAAGGAAAAGGTTTAAGACAAAAGCAAGTTTTTGCCCCTATAGAGCTGCTAACATTGCAAAAACAGAGTGGAAAGAGTGGGTTGATCTTGAATGGAACATTGAAGTGGTAGACAGAATGAGGGAGATGAATAGGAATAAGGGAATGGGCAGTGGGGTACAGAAAATAGAGTTTACATGACTGTTAGGGGCAAAGAATTACTGGGATTGATAGAGAGCTTGTCTGAAAGCCAGAAAAGTCTAGGTCAAAGTCTGAACTGTGTATGAAACACCAGCTTCCAAGTACTAAATAAACACAAAATATATAAATACAAATGGAAATAGAAAGTCTTATTCTGGGGGGAATGAAAGTGAACACAAAAACTAGGAGAATGAACAAGTGTCCTCAAATAATAAGCAACAATTGAGGTGAGGCTTGAAAAATATTAAGTTAAATCAAGATATATTGGCAAATATATACACCACAGCAAATGAATACAATGTGACAAACAATGACTTTTTTAGAGTCACTATGTATTGTTACTCATGTCAGAAGTAGCAAAATGAAAGAAGTGAAAGACTGATTTTTGTACCTGCATGACAAACTGGAAGTGCAGGGCTCCAATTATTATCAGCTTCACAGGTAATTCTGCTGTTACTTTTAAAGACATAACCATCTTTACATTCAAAATCAATTGTGTCCTTGTAAGTATGAAAGGATCCAAATCCTGTTATCTGGATTGCATTGTCAACTTTTGGAGTTTTACATCTGACTTCTAAAAAAGAAAATTTAGAAAATTTTGAAAAGTTTGCTTTGAAGAAGCAGGAGTAGATCAGTAAAAGCAGAACTAGGAAACTATTCACAACAAAAAAAACACATTAAAATACAAGACAAACATGATTAAAATATAAAATAAATGACATTTTGATTTCAGATATATCACATTCCAAAGAACTCAAGGTGTAGTAAAAAGATGACAGGATTTGAACTAAGGGTACTTAGGATCAAACTGCTTTTCTCCTACTTAAGACCAGATCCCCAACGTGGGCTTAGACATACCACCTCCCCTCACTGGGGCTTAGTTTTCTCATCTATAAAATCAGAGTTTAGATAAAGTGATACTCATGGTTCCTTTAAGCTCTTAAATTCCATAATGTAATAAATTCTCATTTTAGGAGCAAATGCAAACTTAAAAAAATTTTTATTTTTAATTTTCACTTCTGAATTCTCTCTCTCCCTCACCCATTGAGAAGGCAAGAAATACAAAACCAATTATACAAATGAAATCATATAAAACACACTTTCATATTAACCATGCTGCAAGAGAAAAAAAACCAAGAAAAATAAAGTGAAAGAATATATGCTTCTATCTACACTCAAGAGTTCACCAATTCTCTTTTTGGAGATGGATAGCATCCTATATTATGAACCCTTTATATCGTGGAACATTGTATTGATCAGTGCAGCAAAGTCATTCACAGTTCATTCTTGTTACAATATTATTATTAAGTAGAATTTTTGCTCATTTCCTTTTGTGAGAGTTCATATAAATTTTCCCAGTTTTTTCTGAAACCATTCTGCTTGTCATTTCTTTTACCACAACAGTATTCCAGCACAATCACATACCACGACTTGTTCAGCCATTCCCTAATTGACGAGTATCCTTTTAATGTCCAATTCTTTGACAACACAAAAAGAGCTGCTATAAATTATTTTTGTACATATGGGTCCTTCTCTTTTTGTCTCTTTGGAATATAGACCTAGTAGCTGTATTGCTGGGTTAAAGTATATGTACAGCCTGATAGCCCTTTCGATGTGGTTCCAAATTGTTCTCTGGAATGGCTGGATCAGTTCTTAACTCCACCAACAGTGTCCTGAGTGTCCCTATTTTTCCACATCTGCTCCAGCATGTCATTTTCCTATTCTGTTATGTTAGCCAATCTGATGGGTTCATGGTATGTAGGAGCTGTTTTAATTTGCCTTTCTCTAATCAGTAGTGATTTAGAGCATTTTTTCAAATAACTAGTAATAGCTTTGATGTCTTCTTTGGAAAGTTACCTGTTCTAAGTCTGCCTGACCTTTTATCAATTGGAGAATGGCTCTTATTTTTATAGATTTGGCTTAGTTCCCTATATAGTTGAGAAATGAAACTATTACCAAAGAAAATTGCTGTAATTTTCTCCCCTAGTTTCCTGCTAGCCTTCTAATTTCGGCTGCATTGGTTTTGTTTCTGCAAAAAACCTTTAAATTTAATGTAAACCAAGTTATCCATTTTACTTCATGTGATCCTCTCTACCTCTTGTTTGGTCATGAACTCTTCCCTTATCCATGGATCTGAAAGTAATCTGCTTATCTCACTTTTTATGTCTAAGTCATGTACCATTTTGAGCTTATCTTGATATATGGTGTGAGATGTTAATCTATGCCTAGTTTCTGCTGAACTGCTTTCCAATTTTCCCAGCAGTTTTTGTCATATCGTGAGTTCTTGACCCAACAGCTTGGATCTTGGAGTTTATCAAACACCAGGTTACTGTGGCTATGTACTAATGTATATATGTCTATTTCTTATCCAGTATTAGGCTGTTTTAATGATTACTGCTTTGGAGTATAATTTGAGATCTGGTGCTACTGGGTTGCCTTCCTTTACTTTTCTCCCCCCCACTGATTCCCTCGATATTCTGTTCTTTCAGATTAATTTTGCTATTTTTTTCTAGTGTATAAAATAATTCTTTGGTAGTTGATTGGTATGGGCAAATGCCATCTTATAGTTAACTTTTCCTATTCATTTTTTTTTATCTCCTCTGGTCGTTTAAGCCTCTGAGACTTAGTCCTATTGAATTAGGTGTTCAGTAAATGTATACCAAGCTGAATTTAGTTTGGTTCATGAAATGTTTTTTTTCATGCTGAGTTGATGGGTCAATGAAACTATTGATATAATTTATGATAAATCCCTACCAGTAATTAAAAGAATAAAATTTTGTAATGAAATCATTGAATTTTTTTTTTAAACCTTAAATTTTCTATATATTTTACATATCAAGACAAATGGTCTGTGAATGGAAATACAAATCCCTTTCTGAAAGATCTTGAAACAAAGGCAGTTTGTAAAAGGTAAAGACTTCCAGGGGGAACTGAGGAAAATCATCTGCAAAAGAAGCCACTTACCAGAAAGAGGAAAAATTTGATAGATTTCTCTTTAAAACAACAACAAAAAATAAAGGTCAAATGAAAATAAACTTTCTGTGATAGGAGCACATGGGTCATGAAGGGTTTTCATATAAAATGTAGGCATATCCTGCATTGGCTGTTCTCATCTTTCAAATTCCCCAATTACCCTGATCTAGCTATTGTTTTTGATATATCATATGAGAGGAAACATTACACCTACCCTGACATCCAATCAATCCTTAACCTAGTCTGCTCACTCCCATCTTGCCCCTAAACTCTCACAATAAATCTCATGCAAGTTTGGGAATGGAGGAAATAGAGTTATGGTTCAGGTTACAGAGGAACTCAAGTCTGCTAATTTTCTGCCTGTATGTATGGTGGGGAAAGTTTTTTGTTTTTTTTTTTTAAATAAATTTATTATCTTTAGCACTGATTTAAAAAAAAAATTACTAAGTCCAAATTTTCTCCTTCCCTCACACCCCTCCCTATTCACTGACAAAGCAAGAAATATGGTATCAATTATACATGTGAAATTATACAAAACACATTTCCATATCAGCCATGTTGCAAAAAAGAAAAACAATTAAAAAAAAAATTATGCTTCAATCTGTACTCAGACTCCATCAGTTCTCTCTCTGAAGGTCCATTTTCCAAGTCCTTTGGAATAGTCTTAGATGACTGTATTCATGAGAATAGCTAAGTCATTCACAGTTGGTTATTGTATAATATTGCTATTACTGCGTACAATGGTCTCCTGGTTCTGCTCATTTCATTCTGTATCAGTTCATATACATTACAGCACAATAGTATTCCATCACAATCACATATCATAACTTTCAGCCATGCCCCAACAGATGAGCATCCTTTCAATTTCCAATTCTTTGTCACCACAAAAAGAGCCGCTATAAATATTTTTGTACATATATACATATTCTTTTCCTTTAAAGCCTTTGGGATACAGTAATGGTATTACTGGGTCAAAGGGTATGCACAGTTTTATAGCTCTTGGGTCACAGTTCCAAATTGCTCTCCAGAATTGGACTAGTTCACAAATCCATGGTGGGGAAATAATTTAAAGCTTTATTTTTTTAAACTATTTGAAAACACATTATGTTTAAAAAAAAAAAAAAAGAAGGGAAAGGGGGTATCTGTCTGGGAAGTGGTGGACTACATCCTAGTCCACCTAGGACCTAGTATCCTAGATACAAAACTATTTTGTTAAGTACTGCCTGAAACTAAATTATCACCAAGTTTACACTTGTAAAAACCTACAAGGGTTTTTGATGTTACACTCTTCTAAAGATCCAGAGTTGTGGGTAAGTCCTAGATGTAAGGACTCAAGGAAGGTTAGTAACGAGCTATCTATTTAAGCTGTCTGGAAATAAAACCAAAGTCAGATCAAAACTATGCCTTATAACAATCAATCAATATAATATCAATTTAACAGTCAATCAATAAATGAGGGAATGAATGAATAAGAGACTCAAAGACACAATGGATCTTTTCTTAAAAATTTTATATTATTATTAGCTGTTAAATTAAAAAATTTATACTATTAGCTATTACATTTATATGTAACATCATTAACTTAGAATTTGTTAATACTATTATTTAATTTTGGCTCTTTTAATGTAGTTATATTTAAGGTAATTTTAAAAATATTTGTAGAAAAAGGATGTTCCTTTCTCAAACTTAACCATGCCTATAGTTTAAACCCGTTAGCATGGTCCAAGTGACTAAGGCACTTACCATCACCAAGTAACATGTATCCTAATACTAGCTCTGGTTCTTTGGGTGATAAATAAACTTCTTTAAAGCTGAATCAGTAAACTTCACTCAACATACAAGCAAGCAACACAAATATAAACCTACCATTTAGGGATATAAGTGAAAATTTTCATTCTGTTTGTACTGATGATATTCTCACAATTAGTAGTGAATTTTTATGTGAAAATATTGGTACAAATTTCTTTTTCTTCAATTGAATTCTAATCGAGTACCTTGAGTATCTACACAATCATGGTACAGACCCCAAAAGCACACACTATACAAATCATCTCCAGCCCTGGGAATATATAACAACATTTCCAGAAACAAAATTGGTTTTTAGTCTATACCTGCCACACTGAGTTAAGTTAAAGTCAGATTTTAAAAGAAGCATGAGACAGGCATTGCTTCTACTCACACACTGCTAAACCCATTATGATTATTTTCAAAGTAGTCTTTTACTATTTATAGATCAAGAAGGAAAAAACTCTAAAGAAATCCATCACCTTTACATTCAGGAGGCGGCTTATTCCATTCTCCATCTTTATCACAAAAAATGGTGGCCTCTCCAATAAGCGAAAGTTGATTTCGACCTCTTGAATCGCAGCGGTAAGTCACTGCCTCACCATAGGTAAAGATATCCTTGTTGACACCACTGTGCTTCCCATCTTGGATATTTGGAGGTGGTACACAATTATTAACTTATGGGGAAAAAAATTAAAAGTAAGAATTTTCTTTCATTCACTTGCTGAGCCAAAAATATTATATTCAAGGGGACAGAAAACCTTAACCATTTAGCTGAAACTCAACCTAAGGTTGTACTGGCCCAATGACCGCATTAGGTGAAAGGGTAGGCTGAGAGAAAGAGAACACCAAGAGCAGCAGCTGCCCACAGCCCCCCAGGGTATCAAGCCAATTTTATCATAATTACTGGAATCTGCTTGGCGGGAGCAGAGAGACGGTGCTTGTTCTTCATGCCCTGGAAACAGCCTGTGCCAGCCTCCTAGGTGGGAGCATTATGAGCACCATCCTAGGAAAGCTTTTTTGCTGGGTAACTAAAATATGAGTTTTGCTTTGGAAAAAGGATCCAGGCAACAGAAGGGAATGTGAGAGAGAAGACCTGGAGTCATGCTTCTTAGGCATTAGGACGCTTATTTACCTATAGCTATGTACAGTGGATGTACTTTCCAAGAAAGAGAAAATTAAAGAGGCTTAGTGAAATCAGAAGAGGGTGAAGGAGGTGAAGTGAGTCTTTGAAGAGTGTGGCTCCAGAAGCAGAGGAAGAGAAGGAGCTCTGAAGCTTCTCTATTATTGTTGTGGGTACCACCATCCTCCCAATTACCCAGGTTAGCAACCCTGAAATTTATCTTTAACCTATCCTTCTCCCAAACCCTTTCCTTCATATCCAATGACTTTCCAAGTCTTGCCAATTCTACCTCCACTTCCCTGACATCCATTTTCTTCTGCACTCACATGGCCAGCCTCATTACCTTTTACCAGCTGTCCAACTTTAGTGTGCTTTTGTACAGTCTGCCCTTTGTGCATGAACTCACTTCCTCAGCTCTCACTCATCACTCTTCCCCACCCTCATACATTCACACCTCTTAGATTCCTTCTATTCCTTTTAAGGTTCAGCTCAGGTGATATCTCCTCTCCTCTGGGAATCCTTTCCTCATCCCAAAGTTGTTAGTTTGCCCTCTCTTCCCTCAAATTATCTTATATTTACTTTTCTGGGTTCATCTGTTATTAGGCATACAATGTAAAATCCTAGATGGCAGTTCTGTCTTGATTTCAGTGCTTCTGACTTCGCACATAATAGGTATTTAATAAATATTTGCTGCTCTAAAAACAGGAATAAACTGAAGGGAACAAAGCCTGACTAGAATTCTTGTCTCCCAATTCAAAAAGATGTTTCTAAGTTGTTCCCCCCCCATTTCACTATATCAAAAAAGCCTGAAATTTCACCAATTAAGAGATTTAATGTAGTTAAAATACACTACTTCTTTTTAGAACACAAATCTCGTCAGAGGGCTTAACAAACAATTAGCATCTTGCCCCCAATCCCATCTCTCTTCTCTGTGAAACTTTCCTATTTCTGTTGAGGACACACCACTATGTTTCCAACCAATTAAGTTTGCAGCTTGTCATCTGGAACTCTTTACACTCACTCATCCCCTATATCCAATTACTTAATTCTACTTTCATCCCTTTCTCTCCACCCACACCACTGTAATCCAACTACCACCTCTTACCTGGATTACTGTTAAAACCTTCTGAGAGAAATGATTAGTAATAACCAGTTATGGGGAAGATCCAGGCTTTTCTCAGGTTGTTTAAAGCTAAGTCTTTGAAGGTCATTGCTGACTTCGGCCAAAAATTTACCCCACCTAGACCATCTTATCTAGGTGAATTCTGCAGCACAGTGTTCTACACAGGTTTGGGTGGGGATAAATTCCTAGATTAAACTGCCCAAGGCTGGGGGTGATTTGGAAGTAAATTCATCAAAATCATGTGCCCTACCTTCATCAGAATAGGTCCACCTCTCTCATTAATTCTCTCATTAATTGTTAACCAATCAGAGTTGATTTCCACCCTCAAGAATATGACTCTTTCAAGGGCATATAAGTATTAAGTTATTCATTCCATGATTTGTCTTTGGTCTGAGAGACAGCCAAATGACCATCCTTTTATTAATAATATGCTAGCATTATTAATAAAATGATTACCCAAAAATTATGTCTCTTAAACATTTTATATATCACACTTCTACTTGATCACCTTGCATCCAGAGCTTCCAAAATAATCTTCCTAAACCACAGTCTGGTCGTGTTAAAGAAGCCTCAATAGCTCCTTATTATCTTTAGGATCAAGATAATATCAACTCTTTAGCTTTACATTTAAAGTCTTTCACAGTCTGGCTCCAGCCTACATTTTCAGACTTATTTCAAATTACTCCCGTCTAGGTTTCAGTTGAACTCAGAATTCCATTTCTTATCTTCATACTTTTGTGTAGGCTTCCCCTTGTGCCTGTAATGCCCACCTTCCTCACTTCCAAAAGGCTTTTGACTTCCTCCCTGGTCAAACTCAGGTGCTATCCTCTCACTCTCACCACAGAAAGCGTTTCCCGATACCCCTAGTTGTTAATACCCTCTCACTCTTCAGCTCAACTTACTGGTTACTTAATGTTATATCCCATCCTCCTCTTAAATGCTGCTCCCAAGCAAAGGCCTCAGAGGACAGAACTGTTCTTTATCTTTATATCCCTGGTACTCAGCACAGTGTGTTCTATACCGCTGGCATTCAATAAATATTTGCATTATTGAACTAAAGCACTCAGTGTGAACTAGTTCTGACTGTTGTGTTCCTAGCTGAGATGGCAACATCAAAGTAACAGGATAACTGATTGCAGAAAAGGCAAGGAAGAACAAGTATATAATTTCAGAGTAGGGAGTATGTTGGAAGATGGGCCTGAATACAGAGTGTCAGAGTCTTTGGGCAGCATGAAGGGCATGAGGAGATAGGAAGATGTAAAAGGAAAAGTGGCCTATTTCTAAATTTTGCTATGGGTTTGGTCTTTTCCCCAAGAAATGATACTGTTTTCTCTAAACTTTTAAGACACAGAATTCTGGCTGGTATTATTAGCATAAGTCAGTTACATCATGAGTAAATGTGTTTTGGTAGGCTAACCTAGGACATTGTTATAGTTCACAAACGAATTTTAGAAACATAACCAATTACGGTAATGGGGATTACTGCACTACCACGTTAGACCAAGACCATCTGAAGATAAATAACATTTTAATACAAATTTCAATTTACATTTTGAATAACAGATTAAAAGACAAACACCACACAATTTACAAATATATATCCAAAAAATTCTTTAAGTGTATAAATCCATTATTTACTTACTTTTGCAATATGGAACACTACCACTCCACAGAACTTGGTTTCCATTAACCTCACAGTTTCTAGTATCATCACCTATTAAAGTGTAGCTGGAAATAAGAGGAAATGTTATAGGACAATAAGACTTCCAGGATAAGCCAGGAGACTGGTACATTACCTTCATCTTGCTAAACTACAGTTACACCAAAGTTCTGATAAAGGTTTAAGAAATACATCAGGGTGCAGCTAGGTGGCACAGTGGATAGAGCACCAGCCCTGGAGTAAGGACCTAAGTTCAAATCCAACCTTAGACACATAACAATTACTAGCTGTGTGACCCTGGGCAAGTCACTTAACTCCACTGCCTAGCCAAAAAAAGAGGAAAAAAAAGAAAAACATCATAAAAGTAACAACTGAAACTCCTACAACTTAACCAAATAAAGACACCTATAGTGTCCCAATACCTAACCTTTAAATAAGCGAAGAGTAAACATGCTTAACATGAATTTGACCTTGCTAAATAGTTTTTCTCAATGTCACCTGACCTTATTTTTAAAATGCCTTGCTATTATATTGTTTATCCCAACTTGAATATCTTTCCTCATCATATCTACTTCCTACCAAATTTTCCACATCATTCCAGGGCTAGTTATTTATGAAATCTTTCCTTGCCATCTCACCCAAGAGCAATCTCTAGAAATTCTAGTACCTATCTGCATATGTTTATTTTATGTATTACTATCACACCAATCTTATTCAGATAATTAATTTTTTTACATGGCTATAACATATCTCCAAATAGACTGTCAGCTACTTGAGAGCAGGGACCACACTTTGTATGTCTGAGTATACACTACCAAATGTATTTATTTAGTACCTACTATGTACAAAGGATGTATTAACTCAGTTAGATTAGGTAAACAGTATCTAGAGGAAGGATAGTTAATGAAAATACCTTTACAGGGTTATCTATTTCCATATTCCCATTAATTTCCCCATATTACTAATGTAGAGAAAATATTTAAGTAACATGAGGACTCCAATTTCATCTTTGTATCTCCAATATGTGCACAGTAGGCATTCAATAAATATTTGTTGAATAAAATGTATTACATTTTATTACAATTACAATTAATTGTACTATGATTTCTTGCAATAAGTACTCGATTCTCTCCAACATTTGCTTTGGAATTATTCTGAACAGAAAACAAAACAGTTCTTGAATATTTAACATTCATAGGATCATAGCACCATTATTTTGCAGCAATCTAATATTCTGGTGGATCACAATCAAGCAAATGATGACCATTCAGGCTGTAAGGCACTGACAGAACTCCCTACTCATGTCTTATTATGGGCATTTCCAGCACAGAGAGGAGGCAGGTAAGCACCATTAAGGTCTTACCCTAGCAGCCTCCTTCAGAAATGTGAAGAGTGTATCTTCTAAAAAAGTAGCAAATTCCTTTGTAAACACCTTCAGGAATGCCTCCTGGGCTGAACCTCAAGTTAAACAAGACTAATCACTGCTCCCTTCAACAGGCTCAGTTGGTTGTCTCTGACAAAAATCATCAGTGACCATTATCAAACTAGTTTATTTGCAGTAGGTTTATAATTATAATTAGTTATGACAGTCAATATGATAAAAGGATAGAAACTAGACCTCTCAGACAAAGTACCTCTCTCATCCAACATAACAAACTATATCCCATCCTATGAGATGGGAGATACATACATATGAAATGAGAGTCTCCCTCTCATTTTTCTTGGGACAGGGAAAAAAGGATTGCAAATAGCAGGAAATATGGAGAGTAGTTCTATTTTAATGACATATTCATGTTGTCAGTCACTTCCAAACTTCACTGGACTTGCCTTTGAGCACTCAGTATACAGGCCACCACTGGGCCATACCACAATGCCTTTCCAGGTTAATGGGATCATCAGAGCCTGTACTAAGAAAGGGTTGGCCTTCAAGATTCCACACTATGACAGTATTATAAAGCCATCACTGAATTACAATCAACCAGATAAGGATGCCTATTATAGTGGATGTTTTACAAGCCCTAAAAATTGTGAAACAAAATAGCAAAAGTGAATTAACTCACACTCCATTTTTTTAAGAAACAACTTACCCTTCATCACAAGAATATACAATCCGTGAACCAAACAAGATATCAGTTGCTATATGAACTTGACCATGTTCTAAATCTTCTGGACGTGGGCATGATTTTCCTGGTTTTAAAAAAAAAAAAAGTTAATATTTACATAGCACTGTAAAGTTTTAAAAGTGGTACACACACATGAATATAGATATCAATATCTATACAGCATGCAAAATATTGATATACCTTAAATTAGGTGTTTTATAGATATTTTATCTAACAATCTATCATCCATAGAACACCTAATGTGAACCTCAGAGTGACCCAAGGAGGAAAGCACAACAGGTATCATTATCTCTATTTTAAAGATTAGGAAACTGGGGCCCCAAAGGGCTAAGTAACTCGCCCACTCTCACTCAGTTACGAAGTGTCAGACACAATGCTCAATCATAGATTTCCTGCCTCCAAATTCAGCATCACAAGAATATTAATGATGCCACTTGTTGGGTGCACTGAATAGAGTACAAACTAACCAACCAACAAGCACTTATTAAATGCCTACAACATGCTGGGAATTGTGCTAGGTGCTGAGAATAAAGAGACAAAAACTCAACAGCCCCTGCTCTTAAGGAGCTTACACGCTCCTTGATGTTTTCCAGTATGACTCAAGGACTGAAAGACTAAAATGAGTTCTTTCTGTGCCCAAATACAAACTAAATCCTCAATTCATCAGAATATTTTCTTGATTCATCTGTTATAGATGTCACTACAGGTCATAGGTAAGGTTCATAATTACAAAGAAAAAACTTATCAAGAAATGCAGGGAGAGCTGAAAAGTAATATGGAGGAAGACAGATTATTTACAACAGTATCTTACACCATATACCAAGGTAAGATCCTAATGGATGTGCAAAGTAAACATGAAAGACCATGTCATAACAAAATAGAGGAGAATGGAAGGAGACCGTGGCCAGAGACAGAATTTTTTTTTTCTTTTTTGGTGAGGCAATTGATGTTAAGTGACCTGCCCAGAGTCACACAGCTAGTAAATGTTATGTGTCTGAGGCCATATTTGAACTCAGGTCCTCCTGACTTCAGGGCCAGTACTCTATTCACTGCGCCACTTAGCTGCCCCTCAGAGGCAGAATTCTTAATCAACAAAGTGGTCAATAGAGAGAACACAGACAATATTGCCTACATAAAACTAAGAAATTTTGCACAAACAAAATCAATACAATTAAGATAGAAATGAAAACTCTCAACTACAAAAAGCGTGCGTCAAACATCTCTGATAAAAATCTAGCAGTCAAGATATACATAGGGAATTAACATAAATATGAAAGACCAAGAGCTATTCCCTCCTAAATAAGGTCAAAAGATAGGACGTGTTCTTTTTTAATGGAATATAATTTCATCATAAAAAGTTTAACTTTTAATTGATTTTTATACAATGTTCAATTTCAAATAGATCCCTCACCTTTCCTTTAACAATGGAACCAACCTTTATAACAAATTTTAAGAGAGGTAAAAAAAGGGGCAGCTAGGTGGCACAGTGGATAGAGCTCTGGTCTTGGAGTCAAAAAAGGACCTGAGTTCAAATCCGGCCTCAGACACATGACACTTAGTAGTTGTGTGACCCTGGGCAAGTCACTTAACCCCATTCCCACAATTTAACTGAACTCTTCATATTGTTTTTTAATGGTACCATAACATCCCACTGCATCTCTATACTGCATTTTGTTTATCTACTCCCTAATGAATACACATCTTTGCTAGCACAAGAGAGTGTTTTATGAATATTTGAATGATAAGACCTGTATTTCTCTGACCACTTTTGGGTAGGTACCTTTGTTGTTGTTCAGTCATTTCAGTTGTGTCTGATCCTTCTTCATAAAGCCATTTGGGATTTTTTTTTGACAAAGATACTAGTTTGCCATTTTCTTCTCCACTGGATCCATTTGACAGGTAACAGAGGTTAAGTGATTTACCCAGAATCATACATCTAAGAGGTGTCTGAGGCTGGATTTGAACTCAGATCTTCCTGACTCTGGGTTCAGTGCTCTATCTACTGAGCCATCTAGCTGCCTCATAACAGCATATCTATTTACAGCCCCTCCAATAATGACTATGCCTATCTTTAGTCATCTTTGCCAGTGTGAGGTGAAACCTCAGATTTTTTTTTATTTTCATTTTTTGTATTATCTGATTTGCATTTCCTTTATTATTAGCTATTTTAAGCAATCTTTCAAATGCTTAACGGTTTGCGATTCTTTTGAGAACTTTATGCTCATATTCTTTAACTACTGATTTACTAGAAAATGGTCTTAACATTTGTGTGAGTTCCTTATTTGGATATCAGACTTTATCATAGCATGATATAAAGATTTTTCCTCAATCAAAAGCTTCCCTTCTTTTCCTAATTGCACTGATTATGCAAAAACTTTTCAATTTCATGTAACCTAAAATTACTGATTTTATCTTTTGTGATCATCTCTCTTTTTACCTTGTTTGGTTAAAGAATTCTCCCTCTAGCCATAGCCGCAAAAGGTACCTATCTAGTTCTTTTCTAATTATTTTATGGTCTGATCTTTAATAACCAAGTTGCACAAGCATTTTGGATTCATTGCGGTATATGATGCGTGGAAGGAGCAATATCCTAACCCCATCTCCCACTCAGGTAGGCAAGTTTTACACCTGAAGCCTTTCTCAAGACCTAATTAGCTCAGGTATCTTAAGGCTCAGGCTGTCGATATCACTTCCTCACTGCCTTAGAAGTCACTTCAGGGAGCTCGGATGCTTGGCTGATGATCACCCTAGGCATCTCAGACGGGAGCTTTGCTCAGCTGAATCAACTTGAGGTACCTCAATGCCTATTTTTACTGAACAGCTTTTTGCTAGAGCTAAATATTGAATGGCCAAGTAGCTCATTTTGTTCCAATTCCAAAATATTCACAGCGGCAAATTTGTGGTAGCGAAAAATTAGAAACAATATAGGTTCCCACTAATTGGGCTATGACTAAACAAAAGTATATGAATGTCATGTGAATATTTAGGTGTTTCATTGTTTTCCTAGTTGTGGAATCTCTGGCTCAAAGATTATTTAGAATTTAATTACTTTTCTCACGTAATTCTGAATTGTTTTTCAGAATGTTACATCAACTCATAGCTCTATCAACAGCATATTAAAGTGCCTGTCTTTTCACACAGCCCTTAGAATTGTACTCTTTCATATGGTTAAGTTTGCAAATTTTTCAAAAAACTTTTCATTTTTGAAAAAAAAAAATGCATCTGATGACCAGAGATACATGGGAAGACTTCTATGAAGTAATGTTGAATGACATAAACTGCACAGGAAAATATACTCAATAACAAAAGAAAAGAGCACTAAAATGAAGTCAACTGCTAAGTCATTTTAATCATTAAACTTGCACCAAAGGAGACGAAGAAATGAATCTCCCCTTTTTGGTGGAGAAGTCGGAAATTACGGGTGCAAAATAGTGCAAACAGTTGGATGTGTTCAACGTGAAGTAAATGTTTTGGGGTTTTTTGTTATAGGGACGGATCACTGAATACACAGGTCCATCATGGGGGTGGGGTTGGGGTCAAGGGAAGAACATTCTGAAATAAGTGATGTAAAAATAAAACGCATCAATGAAAATTATTGCTGAAAAAAATCAACAGTACAAAGATTCTCTGTAAACAATCAAAATTTTAAAAGTATATGGCAGCCTGTAATTAAGTATGAAAATATATCACAGGAAAGAATATGGATTCAGTAGTTCCACATAAATGAATGGAAAATTCCAATAATAATGACTAAGATACAATATATGTGACAGAATTACTCACTTTTACAAGACTCTGAGACAGGTGACCATGTTGCATCATCTTGACAAGTACTGATAAGAGGCCCAAATTTACTGAGAGTATATCCTGGCCGACATAAATAAGCCACAGTGCTGTTAATAGGAAAGTAATTTTTATTTATGAATGTGGCATTCAGCTGCATAGAAGTGTAACGATTTGGGGTACCACAGCTACCTGAGAACAAAAGGGAAAAGGACATGAATAAAGGAGTGGAGTCATGAATAGTTGATCAAAATATTTTCCTCAAGAAGCTTACAAAGGGAAAAAAAGCCCTACAATATACCATGGTATGCTATATAGCAAAAAAAAAATTCTCTACAATGTCTGTATAGGAATGAGTTTCTAATTCAACATTACATGCAAAAGAGAGATGTTATTCTGGATTTTTTATCACTCTTACCATATTCAAAACTCATTTCTTCCAGGAATCCTTTGATAATCAAATGAATGAAAAAGGCCTTATTAAGCACCTACTATGCAATAGGCACATATGGCAGGCAGTGGAGATATAATTATGTAAGTTTATTTCTAATAGGGGAAAATAACACACACAAGAGAAGTTGGAACCAGGGAAGGGAGTTTTGACCTGCAGAAGGAAGTCAAAGGAACTGTGGGTAATTCTACAGGGCAAATAATTGTTATATTCACTCTAGTAGCAATGGTATCACTGATTTAACTACTTTTCCTAGGACAAGATAACAAGTAGGAGGGTCATAAGGAAGTGAGAGCACTCTCATAGTGGCAGAGCAGATAAGATGCTTGAACTGGACAAGCCCTAGTTTCCTTATGGATAGATAAATGGGAGGTCAAACAGGGGTCTGCAGCAAGGCAGATATAAACAGGCTAAGTGAGTTTTTAGTCACTCATCAAGTAATCAGGATAGCTCAGATTAGGTCAGAGTTGAGTGGATTAACTGGGGGAGAAGATAGAGTTCCTCTGGAGATCCAGGTCTCTACTGGATTGATTAGTTTATACTAATTTCAATGATAAATGGCATTGTAAATATTCTTTAATTATTACTTCAAGTACCTGTTAGACCTTCTCATAAAGACTAATGTACTGGAGACAGCAGACTTGTGTTCTACATTCTCTTATGCCTCCTGTATTACTCTACACAGTGTGTTACCCAAGAAATGTAAGCATGAAGTAAACTACTAGTTGCTCAAGAAATACCTACTGAATTGAAAATAATTCACACTTTAAACTGATAACACATTTAAAATATAGTATTATTTCTATTTATTTGGTACTTCCAGGGAATGGGCAATTCCATATGAATAAGCCTCCTGGGTAACTGAAGTTCACCCCCTAAAACACCAAAATTGTTTAATTTTTTTTTACAAAGTATGTTGGGTAGAATTCTAAACTGTATTACAAATTTCCTTGTCTCCTTAAAAGAATATGCTGAATAAAATTCAATTTTTTTTTGGTAATCTGGTATCACCATCATTAATGATAACAATAGCTATCGCTAAGTGTTATAATACCATGTAGAGCCCTCTCTGGTAGCACTTTCTTCTAAATCCAGCATTCAAAGGACATAGGTTGGGTCTCAAAAAGGGGAAACCATTACCTCCAGGGTTCAAAGGAACTTGATGGGTTTACACTACTAAAATTATAGCTCATGAGCCCCAACCAGTATACTTATTTTTAAATAGTTAGCTCATAGATACAGTAAGCTCAAGGAAAAGACATTTACTAAGATAGGATAGTAAAAAAGTAACTACCCAACAGTTCTACTTCCCATAAGCTTGGGGTGGATTCTCCCCAGAAACAAAAAGCAATAGTTAAGAGTGAGGAAAAATGGGGTAGAGCCAAGATGGCAGAGGGAAAGCAGTGACCTGCTTGAGCTCTCCCCCAAACCCCTCCAAATACCTGTAAAAAAAATGGCTCTAAACAAATTCTAAAGCAGCAGAACCCACAAAAAGACAGAGTGAAACAAATTTCTAGCCAAAGACAGCCTGAATGGTTGATAGGAAAGGTATACTGCGCCAGGCTGGGAGAGGAGCACAATTTGGCGTTGGCGCACAGGCCGCAGCGAACCTGCAGTAGGCCTCAGAGGGCTGAACCGTGGGCAGCTTTGGTGGTTTCCAGACTTCTCAACACATGAACACCAAAGACAACCTAGAAGGTCACTGGGAAAAGTCTGTGACCGCAGTGAGAGAGAGAAGCTAGACCCCAGCCACAAGTCCAGGGCAGCGGCTGCCTCCTGAGTTTCTGGCCCACAAACTGAGGGGGAATTGAGTGGCTGATCAGAGAGGGGCTGCAAGGATCTCTTGCTTTTCCCATGCTTGGATCTAGGTCACAGTTCTGAGGGGCAGTCCTGGGGCTCCTCGAGGAGGAATGCTGGCATGGTGGAGCTTGTTGTGGCGGTGGAGAGGAAACACCTTACCCCTTATCACACCACCTTGGAAGAACTGAAAATTTACAGGTCCCTAGAAGTAGCTCTGAAAACAGCTGTATAAAACCCCCGAAGCTTGGGACAGTACATTCTCCACATTGGAAGCAGACTATTACCTTAACAAAGAGTTTAAAACTCAAGTAACTGGCTGGGATTATGAGTAAGGAGCGCAAAAAGAGTCAGACTATATTATCTTACTTTGGTGACAAAAAAGATCAAAACATACAACCAGAAGAAGACAACAAAGTCAAAGCTCCCACATCCAAAGCCTCCAAGAAAAACATGAATCAGTCCCAGGCCTTGGAAGAGCTCAAAATGAATTGTGAGAAGCAAGTAAGAGAAGTAGAGGAAAAACTGGGAATAGAAATGAGAGTGATGCAAGAAAATTATGAAAAACCAGTCAACAGCTTGCTAAAGGAGACCCCAAAAAATACTGAAGAAAACAACACCTTAAAAAATAGCCTAACCCAAATGGCAAAAGAGGTCCAAAAAGCCAATGAGGAGAAGAATGCCCTAAAAAGCAAAATTCGCCAAATGGAAAAGGAAATCCAAAAGCTTACTGAAGAAAACACTTCCTTAAAAATCAGAATAGAACAATTGGAAGCTAGTGACTTTATGAGAAATCAAGACACTGTAAAACAAATTCAAAAGAATGAAAAATTAGAAAACAATGTTTAATACCTCATTGGAAAAACAACTGACCTGGAAAATAGATCCAGGAGAATTTAAAAATTATTGGACTATCTGAAAGCCATGATCAAAAAAAGAGCCTAGACATCATCTTTCAAGAAATTACCAAGGAAAACTGTCCTGATATTTTAGAACCAGAAAGCAAAATAGAAATTGGAAGAATCTACCGATCTCCTCCTGAAAGAGATCCCCAGAGAAAAACTCCTAGGAATACTGTAGCCAAATTCCAGAGTTCCCAGGTCAAGGAGAAAATATTACAAGCAGCCAGAAAGAAACAATTCAAGTATTGTAGAAACTCAATCAGGATAACAGAAGATTTAGCTGCTTCTACATTAAGGGACTGCAGGGCATGGAATATAATATTCTGGAGGGCAAAGGAGATAGGATTACAACCAAGAATCATCTACCCAGCAAAACCGAGTATAATCCTTCTGGGGAAAAAATGGTCATTCAGTGAAATAGAGGACTTTCAAGCATTCTTGATGAAAAGACCAGAGTTGAATAGAAAATTTGATTTTCAAATACAAGACTCGAGTGGACCATGAAGAGGTAAACAGGAAAGAGATAATCGTAAGAGACTTATTAAGGTTGAACTGCTTGTATTCCTGCATGGAAAGATATTTGTAAATCATGAGACCTTTTGTCAGTATTAGGGTAGTTGGAGAGGAAAAAATTATATGTATGTATATATAAATATAGATAGATAGAGGGCACAGGGTGAGCTGAAAATGAAGGGGTCATATCTGGAGAATAAAATTAAGGGGTGAGAGGATTCTAGTAGGAGAAGAAGAAAGGGAGAGGTAGAACGGGGTAAACTATGTCACAAAAAAAAACAGAAAAGAAAAGGCTCTTACAGTAGAGGGGAAATGGGGAAGGTGAGAGGGAATGAGTGAATCTTATTCTTATAGAATTTGACGTAAGGAGGGAATAACATACACACTCAATCGGGTATGGAAATCTGTCTTACCCTACAGGAAAATGGGGGGGGAGGGGACAAGACAGTAGGGTGATGATAGAGAGGAGGCAGACTGGTAAAGGGGGTAATCAGAAGCAAATACTTCTGAAGAGGGAAGGGTCAAAAGAAAGAACAGAATAAATGGGGGTACAGGACAGAATTAAGGAAAATAGAGTTAGTTTTTCACAGCATGTCTACTATGGAAGTGTTTTGCATAGCTGCACATGTATAACCTAAAAAAAAAAAGACTATAGATATAATAAAGTAAAAGTCAAAAACAAAAACAGAAACAAAAAAAGAAGTCCCATTGGGGCACTTAACTACAGTGGTGTGACCTTGGGCAAGTTAATTAACATCTTGGGCTCAGTTTTTCCAATGCAGAATGAAGGAGGTTGAACTAAATGACCCCTAAAGCCCCATCTACCTCTAAATCTATTTCAAAGGTACCTAAGTGAGCACTGCCTGTGTGGTTAACCACGGTTGTCTTTTAAATTACTGCCAGCATCAAAAGCATTCTCATAATCTGGACCAACAAGTAGCAGAGAAGTGGCTGTAGATAAGGAAAGGGCAAGTGGAGAAGCAAACAGCTGAAGGTAGGGTCCTGAGAGGAAAACAAATGCTCCTTCTTCAGTTCCCTGTAATACAAAAAGCCTGTGTCAATTTTAGTTCATCTGAGCTACCTCCATCTTAATAATACACAAGAGTTAGCAATCATGCTGCTACAATGCCTCGTCCTCCTATCTGTAAGAGTTCACCCAGGATTTTCTAAAAGTAAAGTCACAATCCCTTTCCCCAGACAATACTGGGAAATACTCTTTAAAAAAAAAGAGTGAGGCAAAACTAAGAGTATACTGGTAGTGAAGTACACATGCAGGAAACATATTTAGCCTAAGTAACTAATGCTTCCAGTACTGTAGGGCCTCCATGTCGTTTCTCTTCTTACAGTGTCCTCAAGCTGCACCACTGAGAGTAGCATCTCTGTCGAGCAGGTTGCTCAGATAGGTTCTCTTAGTCTGCTCCTCTCCTCAGTGCCTGGGCTAGGTCCTTCTTGAAACCACAGTAGGCTCTCTTCTCTGCTGCCAGGGGTCATACTCCGTTGAGCCATTTCCACTGATTCTCTGTTCCATG